GGGGGATGGGGAAATGGGATACAAAGCTTTACTACACAGGATGAAGAAATTTTGAAGATCTGGTGTGTAGTATGTTGATTGTAGTTAGTGATACTGTATCTTATGCTTGAAATCTGCTGGGATGCAAGGCTGGTTCAATATACGGAAATCAATAGATGTTATTCACCACATCAATAGACTTAAAAATAAGAACCATATAATCATCTCGATAGATGCGGAAAAAGCATTCGACAAAGTACAGCATCCCTTTATGTTCAAAACTCTAGAAAAACTAGGGATAACAGGAACATACCTCAATATTGTAAAAGCAATCTATGCTAAGCCTCAGGCTAGCATCATTCTGAATGGAGAAAAATTGAAGGCATTCACTCTAAAATCTGGAACAAGACAGGGATGCCCTCTCTCACCACTTCTGTTCAACATAGTTCTCGAAACACTGGCCAGAGCAATTAGACGAAAGAAATTAAAGGCATAAAAATAGGAAAAGAAGAACTTAAATTATCACTATTTGCAGGTGACATGATTCTATACCTAGCAGACCCAAGAGGGTCTACAAAGAAACTATTAGAGCTAATAAATGAATTCAGCAAAGTGGCAGGATATAAAATCAACACGCATAAATCAAAGGCATTCCTGTATATCAGCGACAAATCCTCTGAAATGGAAATGAGGACAACCACTCCATTCACAATATCCTCAAAAAAAAATAAAATAAAAGTGTGAAATATGATATGTCAAGAACTATGTAATGTTTTGAACAACCAACAATAAAAATTAAAGGAAAAAAAAGAAAATAAAAAAATAGTAAAAAAGAAAATAAAAAATGGTAACTATGTAAGTTATTGATTATGTTAATTAATTTGACAGTACAGTCATTGCACATTGTATATGTTTGTCAAAACATCACATTATGTTTCCTTTAAATACAAATAAAAATTTATTTGTCAATCATACCTCATTAAAGATAGGAAAAAAGCAAAATAAATAAAAGCAAAGATAATTAAATAGAAAATATTTATATTTCTATAAAATAGAAAGTATTTATATTTGAAGAATGAAGCAGTGCCAGGTCTTGAAGGTTATAGTACTATTAGCATTTTTATATGTTATCTATGGGGGGAGGGCTAGTGAAAGATTTCCAGATAGACACATAGTGTGATTTACAACTTAAAAGTTCGCCCTGGATATTGTATGGCAGAGATAAATTGGGTGAAGCCAGACTGAAGCACAAGCTCCAAAGATGGTGTTTTCTTATAATGAACAGCCCCGATGGTGGTGTGGACCAGTTTGGTAGCAGAGCTTATGTATATCAATAGATGGTTTTGAGGTGGAACAGTGAAGGACAGAGAAGGAAGAGGCCTCTTGATATCTTCCTGGTTTCTTAGGAAGGCGACCGAGTAGAGCCATTTTTCAGAACAGGGAAAGACTGTAAAGAAGGAGCCAAGTTTAGAGGGGCTTTCTAAGAACAACTAAATAAATGACTTGCTTGAACTATTTTCCTTTCCAAAATTATGATTTTCCATAATTCTAGATCTATATGAAGTAAGCATATAATATGCAAAACATTTTTATAATGCAGATTTAAGGGCTTCCTCTTTTCCGCTATTGAATGATTTTCTTCATTAATGCAATTTAAGAGATAAAGCTGTTTCTTTATTCATCCAGCTTTTTCTCATTAATTTTTAAATAATTTTAAAAACAGGAAACTATTTTAAATGCAGGAAAAGGGCAACAAGAGAGAAAACAGCCTATGTATGAGAAAGAAAGATAAGATATATTTAGCAAATTTTATTTGATGAGCTTCAATACTAGTGAATCTTACCTCTGTCTCTACTGTAGTTATTTTTAGTTACAGCCTCTGTAGCCTATCAAAATAAAATTATTAATCATTTATAAGTGGCATCAGACTACTTGGAAATAAAAACATATTCCAATCTTCTAAGCATTGAATTATCTTCTTGTGAAAGATATTGAGCTTATCTGCTGATTCTTTTTACTATACTTTTCCCAATAATTTTTTATTGCATCGTTTGTATGGCCAAATGGTAGTTTATTTCCTTCTCAAAAAAATGACTGTAACATTTAAAAGTAAATCATGATTGCAATTTCTTTTTCTTCCCTATCAAAATGCGTTAGCACAACAAAATCATTTATAGGGCATATATTTTCCATGATGTTGCACAATATTCTTTTATTTGTAAATGACAAAAACATAAAGCTAAACATAAAAACAAATTCAAACTTATTTAAACCCAGTTCATGAATAGTATGTTGGGAATATTTTACAGAACTTTAGGGCAGGAAATAGAAGTGGTCCTCAAAAGATTTTGGAGCTATAGAGTGAAAAAATCATCGTAATTGGGTTATCCCTCTGTTGTTTGTCTCTATTTCTCTTTCTCTCCCTACGGTGCCCCTCTCTCCTTCTATCTCTGTGTACTAGCGTGATTTACTTTTAATCTCATGTGCATTTTCATCTCAAACTTCTCTTGGGGCACACAGCTTTGTCTTTTTCTCTCCACTGATCTGCTTTCACTGTTTGACTACACCCATAGTCAAACAAGGCTTAGCTTCTACTTCTGCCTGTACTTGTGTTCAACTCAAACCGCACAAGCAACCCTACCATTTTTTGTTTGTTTGTTTCTGGGCAAGAGAACCTGTTTTCCCAGTAGGGTCAGTAACTACCATAAACTTGTGTGGTTAAGAGAAAGAGCAAGAAAGCTCTCATTTAATAAAACAGACATGGAATTTATGTTATGTAAATGTGTGTTTTCAGTAAATATGCTCCTGATTATGAAGCACAGAATAATAGAGTAATACTGAGAAATGACATACCTTCATAATAAGATATAAGAAGAGGTATAATTATGTAGATTTTTGCTCCTTGTTTTAATAACAGTAAACTATCATATTTGTTCATAACAGCCACTCCCAATCAGACACTATTCCAAGCACGCTCTCTCTTCAGCCCCCTTTTACCCCTGCACTACACACAAACATACACACACTTTTGATTTCTAAACTCTATGGGGTAAATATTATTATCATTCTCCTGATACAGAAAAATGAAAATAAGAAGGGGTGAGTATGCTGATCAAGGTTACACATCCAGGAAAGAGGAAGCAGATCTAGGATTAGCATCCAGGTGTTGGTTTTGTGGGCTTAATCCTTGGGCCTATCTGACTCCTGAATGTGGTGTTTTGATCATAAAGGCCCATCATCATTTGAAAAAAATGAAACTGACAAGAGTTATTTCCTTTTCCAGAAAATCATCACTTGAAGTTTCTCCTGCAAGGTTTTTCTTTGTAAGTTATATTTTCATGTAAGTTATATGTGCTTATTCGTTCTTGGTTTCATTTCTTCTCTCAGACATTCATATTGTTTCTCTCTCACTGATATTTATTGAATTTTACAAACACCCGAAGTATCTGTAATGAGGGTACCATGCATATGTTGTTTTTCTTCTTTTCAAAAATAAAAAAAAATTAAGAAAAGGAATTCTGCACCATTTTTTGGTTAACCTACCAGACACATGGCAAAACACCAACTTTATTACTTTTTAAATTTTTTATATAGTCCTGTGACTATTTTTTTTTTGTCAGTACATTCTTGCAGAGCCGAGTGAGTTTAGATAAATCCACTACTGAGGGTTGAAAAAAAATTTAAGTTGTTTTTAGATTTTGTCTAAACTCATATAGACTGGTATTCATAAATCAAAAACTGAAGGGAAAAATAACCCTATGATACTTTAAACTGTATGTTTAATGGAAGTCAGATAAGTGATATTGTCCTTCAATAATCTATCCAAGTTTATTGCATTTCTACAGAAACTGCTAGAAAACTAATTCAGATAAGGCCTGTTATGATTTGATCCTGATTATAACTATTATTTTTTTCCTGATGATTTCATAAATGGATTAAGAAATTGAGGTTTATTTTTGTTGTAGTTTCATCAGAACTTTATAATCTGAAACAAAAATACACTAAGAAACCTCTGGATTTTTATCCTGGCCCCATTAAATTGTTCATCAATAATTACGCTTTAAGAGGAAAATCACCTGACCCCTCCCACCAAAATGTTATATTTAATTTTTATCCCAGAAGATTGGGTACCCATTGGCGTAAATAAAAGGGGCAAACACAAGTTTGTGCATCACAAAGAATTTATTTTTCCAATGGTTTAATACTTTCACTTTTTGAGTCAGGTTTTAAACTTTTAAATGGTTAAGACCCCTTTCCAAATTTTAAAAAGAGTTATAAACAATTTAAAAAGCAACTTTTTTATGCATTTAGGCAACTCCTGTCTTCTCCTCCATGCCCAGTCCAATCTCAATGCTCCAACTTGAGAATTGTGATATGAAGCTTGGTGGCCACCAGGACCCTCTAGACTCCCCTCTGTTGACCATTGTCATTTTCCCCCTCAGGAGAGGGCAAAGTGCAAGGTGACAGATAAGGGGACTCAAGACTGAGCCTACCACAGAAATTCTAGGAGAGTGAGGGTTCATCCCTAGACATGAAAAAAATATATAGGAACAACTGAAAAAAGGGGCCACTTCTTTTGCAAGAGGCAGCTACACCTATAAATATAATTCAAATAATTGAATATTATATGCAGGGGGTCAGTGGCCATGCGCTGAACTATCCTGGGTTACAGGTTTACTACTGGATAACTGAGATGGCTCCGCAAACACATGATAGACCTGGTAATATCTGAGTTCAGACCCTTCCACTTCTGAAAACCTGTAACGGAGGCAGAGGAGAGGAATTCTATCATTGCAGAATTAATCTCTACTCCCTCCTGCATTGCTCATCACTGAGACCTATGTTGTAAGCATCTTTCCGGAAGCAAGGTCAATTATACGAGCGAATAATCTTGGCCAATTACGCGATTAAGAAATTGTCTGTAGACATAAGGCATTGGCTTACAAGGTTTCTTTTTACTGGAGTCCATCTGAACAGTTTCTAAGATTACTAAATTTTAAGCATATGTCAGGACAACCTACATGCCAAGTTACATCCCGAGCTCCCCGCTGACAATGCGAATGCGGGTGACATCCAAGGTGGTGGAGTCACAGCCAGGAGTTCTGGGCGCTTTGGTTCCCCTAGACAAGGTTGGGCGTGGTTTTCTGCGCGGAGGCTGCAAGGCTGGGAGGAGGAGTCTAGGAGCGGGAGTATGCAAAGGCTCTCTTCGCTATTCCGGGAAAGGACTGGTGGTGCCCCAGAGAAAGGAAGACCAGCTTTGGGGAAAACTGAGTAGTCAGGGACTGAACAAGCTTGGGAGTGAAAGGCTGAGACCCGAGGCGGCCCATCCTCCTGGCACCCGCCGCCCCGGCGTTGAGACGCCGGTGGCCCTACCCGCAGCAGCTGGGATGCCTGGCGAAGCTTGGGCGCTGGCGGTGGCGCTGGTGCTCCTGGCCCAGGCGCAAGGTCAGCCAGGTAGGTCGCTGGCGGGTGGGAGCGCAGGGGCGCTGCCTGCGGGTGAGAGCTGGCTTCTAGGATAATGGGAAGAAAGTATGGGGGCATCTTGGTGGATGTCTGAGGTCCACTCCTCACTGTCCAATCCTCCATTCTGTCCCACCTCTGTCTTTGAGACGGCCACTTTACAGCATGGTACCTTTCGGTTTTAGTTTGGGCCCAGGCCAGTGTTGCCTCCTCTTTTTCTTTTGGACTCTCGGTTCTGTTTTTTGTTTCTTCTTTTCCTGATGTTACTCTGCTTAAATTCCTTTTAACTTGATGTAAGAATCTTTCGCTGACTGTCTGGTACCCTGCAGGCAAGTGGATAGAATTATCAGAAGAATTAAATTCCAAACCACACGATTTCCACCCCACAACTATCCTCATCCCCGGAATAATTAATTGGTGAATATTGTATTTCTGTAGTAAATCTCTAAGCTAAGTTTTGTGTATGGTATTTTTCATGTTATCTGTCAGAACCAGGCTTCCTACTGTAAAAGAGATCTTTATAGAAAGAGTATCCCTTCTCACTTATTTAACCTATGACTAAGAAAACAGCTTAAAATACCTCGAAGTTAAACTGATATAAAACAAAGCCACGTTCATTTGCTCTTCCTGTTTGTTTTTAACGTTCCAAAGTACAAATAGGAACATTAAATGAAAGATGACTTGCTCTTTATTATAAGTTCTCTCATGTTTTTCAGAAGTAAACTGATCTATACAAAACTCTCTGCACCTTGGGGCTGGGGGGAGGAGGCCATGTGTAATATTTACAACCGTTTACCGTGTCATTTTCTTCTTATCTTGCTGATCTTAATCAGTTTTACTAATATAAGTTTGCTTTGTAAAAGGAAGGGGCATGCATTCTCTCATGTAAAATTTTTAAAAGAATATCAGAACCCAATGTATTCATTATTTTCTGAAGTAATAAAGGTTAAAACTGGCCTGAGCCTTCTTTGGTTTACTTACAGATTTTCTGTCTTCATGAAGGACTATTCTTAAATTAACACATAATAATTTTACATATGTAGATGGTACTATGTGACAATTTACTACATGCATAAAATATCAAATGATCAAATTTGAGTAGTATTTCCATCTCCTTAAATATTTATCATTTCTTGGCGTTGAGAACATTTGAACTTCTAGTTCTTCATAAAATTTGACAAATTACAGTGAACTATAGTCACTCTACTGTGCTGTAGAACATTAGGACTTACTTCTTTTGTGAAACTGTACTTTGGTACCTACCCAAGCAACCTCTATCCCTCTTCCCCCCTGCCTTTCCTAATTTCTAGTAACACTATTATAAATAATATTTTAAGCACATTTACACTAATAACATGTTAAATATGCATTTATTACAGTTAGATAAAATATTTCTCAACAGCATGACCAATATTAATCAAGGAAGATGCTTTCATGCGTTACTTCTCGATCATATAACCCCTATTGACTCTGTATAGTAACTTTGTAATCTCTTTGCAGAAGGTAAATATTATCTTTTTCCAGGTCATATCAAGAACATATCATGATAAAGTTAATAATTTATTTTAGTAGTCTAGAAATAGAAGAGGTGAATAAAAATATTTATAGATTTTTTTTCAAGCAGCTTTACTAAGCTATAAGTCATATATAATTTGCTCACTTAAAGTGTACACTTCTATGACATTAGTATGTTCACAGATATGTGCAACAATTATTATAGGCAACTTTAGAACAACTTTATCAATTAAGAAAGAAATAAATACTGGACTGTTAGCTGTCAAATCCCTATATCTTCCATCAGTCTACCTAACCTCCCTGTCAAAAGTAATTGTTATTGGGATATCTCAATTTATTTGCCACCTCTTTTTATTTTGTATAAATGGAATCACACAATTAGCTGTATTTTGTGTCTGGCCTCTTTAACATGGATTAACATTTTCAAAGTACATTCATGTTGTAGCATGTGTCAATATATTTCTTTTTAAGATGGAAATATATTCCATTGTGAGAATGCACTACATTTTAAAAATTTGTTTATTTTTATTTGTTCTTTTTAGATGTATCATGCATACATAGGATTATATATGTATAGTATTATACACACATAGTAATTTTTATCTGTGATACATATATTATATATAATTATGCATAATTATTTATATTATGTGCAATATTATATATAATATATAATATAGTATTATAACAGTATACATACATAGTAATATGTATGTAATTGGTGTAGTTTGACATATTATACATACATGGAGTATAACTTATTCTAATTAGGATCGCATTCTTGTGGTTTTTGTGATGTGGAACTTCACTGATTATGTATTCATAGATGAACATAGGAAAGTTATGTCTGATTCATTCTACTGTCTTTCATATTCCCATCTCCCACTTCCCTTCATTCCCCTTTGTCTAATCCAATGAACTTCTATTCTTTCCTCCCCTGATTATTGTGTGTTAGCATCCACGTATTGGAGAGAACATTTGGCTTTTGGGGTTTTAGGATTGGCTTATTTCCCTTTAGCATGATAGTCTCCAGTTCCATCCATTTACCTGCAAAAGTCATACAGTTATTCTTTGTATGGCTGAGTAATATTCCATTGTGTGTATATATATACATGCACCACATTTTATTTATCCATTCAGAAAATGGCATCCAGATTTGTTCCATAGCTTAGCTATTGTGACTCAAGCTGCTATAAACATTGATGTGGCTGCATCACCATAGAATGCTGATTTTAAGTCCTTTGGGTATATATCAAGGTTTGGGATAACTGAGTCAAATGGTGGTTCCATTCCAAGTTTTCTGAGGAATCTCCATACTGCTTTCCAGAGTGGTTGCCCCAAGTTGCAGTCCCATCAGCAGTGTATCAGCGTACCTTTTCCCCAACATCCTTGCCTACATTTATTGTTACTTGTATTCTTGATGATTGTCATTCTTAATGGAATAAGATGGAATCACAGTGTAGTTTTAATTTCCATTTCTCTAATTGGTACAAATGTTGAACATTTTTTCCTATATTTTTTGATCATTTATATTTCTTCTTCTGTGAAGTGCTTGTTCAGTTCCTTTCCCCATTTATTGAGTGGGTTATTTGTTTTTTTGGTGTTAAGTTTGTTGAGTTCTTTATATATTCTGGTATATATGCAATATATATATATATATATATATATATATATATATATATACATATATACACATATATTTAGAGAGAGAGAGAGAGAGAGAATTTTTTTAATATTTATTTTTTACTTTTCGGAGGACACAACATCTTTGTTTGTATGTGGTGCTGAGGATGGAACCCGGGCCGCAAGCATGCCAGGCGAGCGCGCTACCACTTGAGCCAAATCCTCAGCCCTATATGCTATATTTGAGGTGCAGTTGGCAAAGATTTTCTCCCATTCTGTAGGCTTTCCCTTTACATTATTGATTGTTTCCTTTGCTGTAAAGAAGCTTTTTAGTTTGAAATCATCCCATGTATTGAGTCTTGATCTTACTCTTGCGCTTTAAGAGTTTTGTTGAGGGAGATGATTCCTAAGCTGATACAATGGATTTGGGCCTACATTTTCTTCTAGTAGGCACAGAGTCTCTGTCTATTGCCTAGGTCCTTGATCCACTTTGAGTTGAGTTCTGTGCCAGGTGAGAGATAGGGTTCGATTTCTTTCTAATACATATTCATATTCAATACAGTTTTCCCAGCACCATTTGTTGAAGAGGCTATCTTTTCTCCAATGTATTTTTTTTGGAGAGGGGTACTTGAAATTTAACTGAGAGGCACTCAACCACTGAGTACATTCCCAGCCCTATTTTATGTTTAATTTACAGACAGTGTCTCACTGAGTTGCTCACCTTTGCTGAGGCAGAATTTGAACTCATGATCCTCCTCTCTCAGACTCCTGAGTTGCTGGGATTACAGGCATGCACCACTGTGCCCAGCCTCCAATGTACTTTAATGGCACCTTTGTATGGTATGAGATAACTGTATTTATATGGGTATGCCTATGTGTCGTCTATTCTATTCCATTGTTCTTCATGTCTGCTTTTGTGCCAATAACTGCCATTTTTATAGACGATAATCAGAAACTACTTTGAAAACTGTTATTCCAATAAAACAGAAAATCATGAAACATTAACAAATTTCTAGAGACATATGGCCTACCCAATTGAATCAGGAGGACATTCATAATTTTAAAAGATCAGTTTCAAGCAATGAAATTGAAGATATCATCAAAGGCTTACCAATAAAGAAAAGCTTAGGACCAGATGGATTCTCAGCCAAGTTCTATCAGACCTTCAAAGAAAAACTAACATCAATCCTCCTCAAATTATTCCATGAAATAGAAAAGGATGGAACCTGTCCAAACTCATTCTATGAAGCTAGTATCACCCTGATACCAAAACAAGACAAAGACACATCAAGGAAAGAAAACTTCAGATCAATAGCCCTCATGAACATAGATGCAAAAATTCTTAATAAAATACTGGCAAGTCATTTACAAAAACATATTAAAAAGATAGTTCATCACAATCAAGTGGGGTTCTTCCCAGGGATGCAAGGTTGGTTCAACATTCAGAATAATCAATAAACATAATTCATCACATCAATTGACTTAAAGACAAGAATCACATGATTATCTCAATAGATGCAGAAAAAGCATTTGACAAAAATAGAGCATCTATTCATCTTCAAAATACTAGAAAAACTAGGGATAGTAGGACTATACTTCCACATAGTAAAAGCTATCAATGCCAAGTCCAAGGTCAACGTCATTCTAAATGGAAAAAAAAAATTGAAAGCATTCCCTTTGTAAACTGGATCAAGGAAGGATGCCTCTTTGATCATTTCTATTCAACATAGTCCTGGAAACCTTAGTCTGAACAATTAGACAAAAGAAAGAAATTAAAGGGATATGAATAAGAGCTCAAATTATCCCTATTTGCCCATGACATTTCTTTATTTAGAAGAGCCAGAAAACTTCATAGCCCTCATGAACATAGATGCAAAAATTATTTACAGACAGTAAATAATTTACAAAAAGCTTCTAGGACTCATAAACGAATTCAGCAAAGTAGCAGGATATAAAATTAATACCCATAAATCAATTGCATTCCTATACACCAATGACGAATCAGCTGAAACAGAAATCAGGAAAACTATCCCATTCACAGTAGCCTCAAAAAATAATAAAATTCTTGGGAATCGACCTAACAAAAGAAGTGAAAGACCTCTACAGTGAAAACTACCCAACAATATAGAAAGAAATTGAGGAAGACCTTAGAAGATGGAAAGATCTCCCATGTTCTTGGACAGGCAGAATGCATATTGTCAAAATGGCCGTACTACCAACAGCTCCATATAGATTTAATGCAATTCCTATTAAATTTCCAATGACATTTTTCACAGAAATAGAAAAAGCAGTCATGAAATTCATTTAGAAAAACAAGAGGCCCAGAATAGCCAAAGCAATCCTTATCGAGAAAAGTGATGAGGGCGGCATCATCAGACATTAAATACTACAGAGCTATAGTAACAAAAACGGCAGGATTTTGGCACAAAAACAGACAGGAAGACTGTTTTTCTGCCTGCTGTTCTCTCCTTTCCTCCTGCTGAGGAAAGGAGCTTTGTGTTCTGCCTATGTGGAATTTGGCAGAAAAAGTATCTTCCAGGTCAAGCAAAGACTGCTCAGAAAACAGGTTCCCTAGAAGAACATCAGAACTGTTTCTTCCTCCATGTTCTTGTTTCTTCTTCCAACCTTCTTCTTTCAACCATTCATTTTCTTGTGCTTCATTGTAAAATGGTACTTTCAATAGGATGGACATAAGGAAGAAGATGGGGAGGCAAGCAGGAGGGAAGGAAAGAAGATGGGCAGGCTGGAGAGGTTGCTCAGTTTTTGGGATGTACTCAATAGTAGAGCCCTTGCCTAATTTGAGCAAGGTCCTGGGTTCTATCTATCCCCAGGATGGGGGTTGGAAGGAGGAAGATTGAACTTTAAAACTATATTCCTTCCTGTACCAGGTGCTTCACAAATTGCAAAAATGGAATCGACATTAAAAGATTAGTTCACTTTATTGCATTTCAGGATCTGGCAGAGGTAGGATTTGGGATTTTTGTATTTACTTTGGAAGAAAGCTGTTTGTGGAGGGTCATAATGACATTATGACATTGTAGGGCCTGTGACTTGAGATGGACATAATAAACATATTCTAATCCAAGAGCAATTAGTTCTGTTGCCTTACTCAGATTAAAAGAAAATAAAGTTCTGAAAGGTTTAAGTAACTCAACAATACATTCTAGTTTTCTTGATTTGTTTATTGTGTTTATAGAAAGTTCAAGAAAAGTCACCTTTGACTTTTTAAGAGACCCTGAGATTTCAGATGGTCTCTATGGGCAAAAGTGAGTTTATTTGCTTTTTTTTTTTTAAGACTGAATTATGCCAGTGAGCAAAACACATTTCACAAAGAACACCTATCTTTCTGTCTATCTCCAGAATGCTCACCTATCTTTCTGTCTATCTCCAGAATGCTCTCCTGGGGGCCACAGGTTTCTTCAGAGTCCTTACAGAAGTATCCATTTTGACTCGATGCACCTCCAGCAGTCTGCTGCTCAAGAGATGATATGTGATCATTCCCTTTCTTCTGGATGGTATCGATTTCTCCTCTTTGACAGACCTGCTGAGATGCCAACTAAATGTGTTGAGGTACTTCAGTTCACACCTCTTATGTGCATTTTCATATAAGGATTGAGTCTTATTATTTACAGTTTATTTCCTATGCTGAAATGTTAGTTTAATTATTAGCTTGAGGTAATTTGAAGGCATAGCCTAGTGTAAAGATAATAGTAATGGTAATGATGTTGTGCTCCATGCAGTCTGCAATATCTTAAATAATTTTCATAACTCCAGGTTACAATCTACCAGTAATTATTTTTTTTCATCAAACTATTTAGGACACAGATATTCTCATGCATAATCCTTCTAGAGTCACCTAGTTAATAGTTTCCAGTTCAAAGCCAAACTTTGAACATAGGCAGTCAGTCAGTCTATAGGGCTCCTCTGCTTAACCACAGGTAACCTGCAAACAGTAAATTTTGTATGTTTTTGTGCTTTGGTTTGACTCTGCTGGCTTGAAATTAATAAGCTTACTACCTCCTATTTCAAACTGAAGAGAACCAGCTTGGCAGTGAAATCTCCAAGTATTTCCTGACCCAACATGCAGACAATGCATCTGCAGCAAATTGAATACACAGAGGCCTCTGGCCTCATCCCACTGTGACTTCTTCTGTAAGCCCACAATTGGTGTGTCCAACTTACTTCCTTTATATTCACTTATGAACAGACAAGTATATGTTTTTTAAGCACATCCTGTTTAACTTTGTCTGTTTTTGAACTTTTTTTTACATTCAGTCACACCAGATCTAATTTTCTGCAACTTAACTTTTCACAAAATTTACTGTCTTGAATGCATGATATGATTTTCATCCTGACAGTGTCTTGTTTATGATCTAAGCAAAATGACTTACTTTACAAACTCATTTTCTTCCAAAATGTCTCAAAGAATAAGCACAAGTAAAATAAAATCCAAAGGCAGGATGTCTTAGGTGTTTTTCAGTCAACTTTCAGTCCTTGTCATGATCTTCCTTGAATTTCCACTGAGAAGTCCAGTTAGTGTAAATTGTGATTTTCAAATGCAAGTTTCCCCTAATTTATCAGTAGTCTCCATTCAGCTGAAGATGCTATTATGACATAGACATCATCTCTACTTGATAATGACACTTTTGACAGTTAGACTTGCAGTTCAACTTTCACTATGCTATCACATTTTAACCACATGATCTAAGGCATGAGACTAAGTCTGAATCTCTTAAAACTGAACTTATTACCCCAACCTCCCCAGTTATAGGATTAAAATGGAAAGGAAGGATTTGAAACTGACATTTATGTTGCAGCTCATGCATTTCTTGCCCTGGTGGACATGATCACCTAGGTAACCTCACTTGATCTCCCACTGAGGCTTTGAGGTTACTTTTGTTACTTCATTTTAAAGATGTGCACACAGGCAGAGTCTGAATCACATAATTGAAGTCATTACCTGGGAGGAGGCTGTACAATATGCAGTATCTCCCTCGGCATGAGCCCTTTTCCCTGTCACAAGCCTCCAACAGAGTCCAGGAATAAGCAAGTGTTCAGATGTGATAGGTAACTAAGACAGACTCTCTAATTTTCAAGAAATGCATCCATGTCACACTTGTCAAGTTACTAAAGGTGCTCTCATCACTCATGATTTTCCTATATGTAATTTCACTGCATTAGGTGTGATTTCATTCTTAAAGTTAATTTTTAGTTTGATCTAGAGGACATGAAGCTACTGTTTAACACTTGATGTGAGACCATATCATTCAGGATTATGTCTCAGAAGATTTATTTTGCTTATCAGTATATACACTTTGCAAATTATGCAGAAGCAGAAATTCTTTTTCTGTTTAAGCTGTAATGTAAAAAAACCTCAGAAAAGACACTCATATTTTAAAGACATTCTATTTTGACTTATGCCATTGTAGCTAAGTCTCTTTTCTCTTTTTTGCTTATTTGCTTGTCACTTTGTGACATTTAATTTACAAGTAGCTAAAAAGTCAGAATTTAAAAATAACCTTTAAGAAAATTGGATGAACTTCACTAGATTCTTAAATATTTGTGCCCTTTTTCTTTGGCTGAAATGATCATTTGTATATCACAGAATCTCACCCAACTGTAAAAACAAAATGGTTTTCCTGTGCCCTGTGGAGAAGAGTTCCTTGTCCCAACCTCTTATTCCCTTTTTGAACCAAGGATTTAGAGCATTCAAGTTAAGACTCAATAGTATTTTATTTTTCCTTACAGGAAAATATAAGTCTATTTAAATAAATTTCTATTTTTGAATTTAAAATAATACATGTGTATTCTAGAATGCTAAGGAAATAAAGAAAGGATAGAAATAGAACAGCGATTATTCACAATCTATCAACACATTAATAACTATCATTAACATTTGCTTTTCTTTTACATATATTGTTTTGTAGGTCATGCTTTATGTTCAAATGTGTAACATGCTTTTTTTAGTTATAGCATAGGATTAGAATGTTCCATTTATAAAATCTTTACATCAGTTTTAAAGCAGTATTCTGTAATAAGAACATACTGTATGCACTTATGTGATTGTCCTATATGTGCACATTGAGAATTTTGCCATAATAATTAATTCTACAATTTTAGTAAATGTACATATAATCTTGTCATCATTTTAGTGTGTTTAGTAAGATTTATTTTTAAATGTAAAATTAATGAAGACTAATGTCTTTTTGAGGCTTTGATATATACAGTTATTTAAAACATAATGTTGATGGACATGGTGGTACAAGTCTATAATCTCAGAGATCCAGGAGGCTGAGACAGGAGGATCACAAATTCAAAATCAGCCTCAACAACTTATTGAGGTCCTAAGCAACCTAGTGAGACCCTGTCTCAAGATAATGAAAAGTGTTGGGGGTAATGAAAAGCTTAGGGGTAAAGCAACCCTGGGTAAAATCCCCAGCACCTAAATAAAAAATATATAAATATATGAATAAAACATAATGCTAATTTTTAATTCCCACAGAACTAGATAGATATGCCTTTTCCAATACCAAATATTCTAATGCATTAGACATCTGTATTATTTTTTGTGAATTGTGTATTTATGGTCATAGAATTTTTAGATTACATTGCTTCATTTACACTTCACTATAGCACTTTGAATGGGAACTACTATCCCTGCATACAAAAGAGAAGGATGTCTGCAACGTAGGCGGGCCTGCGACCCACCGGCAGAAGAGGAGCAGCGGCCTGCTGAGAGGCAGAGCCGCCCCCTCCCCCTGCGCCGGCAAGGTAGACAGAACTGTGAACACCCACAGAGCAGGCCCAGCAGCCTGCTGAGGGGCAGAGCCACCCCCCACCCCCCACGCCTGCCAGGTAGGCGGAACTGTGACAACCGACAGAAAAGGCCCAGTGGCCCGCGGAGGGGCAGAGCTTCCAATCACTCCTGCAAGGTAGGCGGGCCTGCGACCCACCAGCAGAAGAGGAGCAGCGGCCTGCTGAGAGGCAGAGCCGCCCCCTCCCCCCGTGCCTGCAAGGTAGACGGAACTGTGACCACCAACAGAACAGGCCAGACCTGCAACCGACAGACAGAACAGGCCCAGTGGCCTGAGGAAGGGTAGAGCCGCCCCCCCCGCGCCTGCAAGGTAGGCGGACCTGCGACCCACTGGCAGAACAGCCCCAGAGGCCTGCAGAGGGGCAGTGCCGCTGCCTGCGCCTGCAAAGTAGGCAGAACTGTGACCACCGACAGAACAAGCCTAGTGGCCCGCAGAGGGACAGAGCCGCCACCCACGCCTGCAAGGTAGGCGGACCTGCTACCGACCGGCAGAGCAGGGCCAGCGGCCTGCCGGCGTGGTAGACACATTGCTCCAATTGGAGGAGGGGCAGAGCCGCCGCCCGCGCCTGCGAGGGAGACTTTGCAACTATACAAGACCAATATAAATATATAGGGGGAAAATTCAATAGCACAACAGTTTCACCAAGTAGAAAGGAACGCGAACAGTATGAAGAGACAAGGAAAGAAAGGACCACAAGCAATGCAGGTCAACTCAACGTTAGAAGAGGTAATAGCTGCAGCAGATGGAATGTCAGATAAAGAATTCAGGATATACATGCTTCAGATGATCTGGAGTCTCAAGGAAGACATCAGACAGCAAAATCAGACAATGAAAGATCACTTCAACAATGAATTACATAAACAAATCCAAGAAGCAAAAGACCAACTATACAGGGAGATAGAGGTTATAAAAAACAAACAAACAGAAATTCTAGAAATGCAGGAAGCAATAAACCAACTTAAAAACTCAATTGAGAATACTACCAGCAGAGTAGAACACTTAGAAGATAGAACATCAGACAATGAAGATAAAGTATTTCAACTTGAAAAGAACATAGACAGCTCAGCAAGACTGTTAAGAAACCATGAGCAGAACATCCAAGAAATATGGGATAACATCAAGAGACCAAATTTAAGAGTCATTGGGATACAGGAAGGGACAGAGTTTCAAACCAAAGGAATGAGCAATCTATTCAATGAAATAATACGAGAAAACTTCCCAGACTTGAAGAATGAGACAGAATCCCAAATCCTAGAAGCCTACAGGACGCTGAATGTGCAAAATCATAAGAGACCCACACCTAGACACATTATAATGAAGATGCCCAACATACAGAATAAGGAGAGAATTTTAAAAGCTACAAGAGAAAGGAAGCAGATCACATTTAGGGGTAAGCCAATCAGGATAACAGCTGATCTTTCAACACAGACTCTGAAAGCTAGAAGATCCTGGAATAACATATTTCAAACACTGAAATAAAATGGGTTCCAACCAAGAATTGTGTTTCCAGCGAAATTAAGCTTCAGGATGGAAGATGAAATTAAAACCTTCCATGATTAACAAAAGTTAAAAGAATTTGCAGCTAGAAAACCATCTCTTCAAAACATCCTTGGCAAAACATTACAGGAAGAGGAAATGGAAAATAACAATGAAAACGAACAGTGGGAGGTAGGACAGTAAAGGGGGGGGGAAATAATCAAAGAGGAAAACAAACCATGTTTAGTAACATAAATAAACAAATACGGCTGGAAGAACAACCCATATCTCAATAATAACCCTAAATGTTAATGGCTTAAACTCACCAATCAAGAGACACAGGCTAGTAGAATGGATCACAACACAAGACCCAACAATATGCTGCCTACAGGAGACGCATTTGATAGGAAAAGACATACATAGGCTGAAGGTGAAAGGGTGGGAAAAATCATATCACTCATATGGACTTCGGAAACAAGCAGGAGTGTCCATACTCATATCAAATAAAATAGATTTCAAGCCAAAGTTAATCAAAAGGGATAAAGAGGGACACTACATACTGCTTAAGGGAACCATACACCAACAAGACATAACAATCATAAATATATATGCCCCAAACAATGGTGCAGCTATGTTCATCAAACAAACTCTTCTCAAGTTCAAGAGTCTAATAGACCACCATACAATAATCATGGGAGACTTCAACACACCTCTCTCGCCACTGGACAGATCTTCCAAACAAAAGTTGAATAAGGAAACTATAGAACTCAATAACACAATTAATAACCTAGACTTAATTGACATATATAGAATATACCACCCAACATCAAGCAGTTACACTTTTTTCTCAGCAGCAAATGGATTCTTCTCAAAAATAGATCATATATTATGTCACAGGGCAACTCTTAGACAATATAAAGGAGTAGAGATAATACCATGCATCCTATCTGATCATAATGGAATGGAACTGAAAATCAACGATAAAAGAAGGAAGGAAAAAGAATACATCACTTGGAGAATGAACAATAGGTTACTGAATGATCAATGGGTTATAGAAGACATCAAGGAGAAAATTAAAAAATTCTTAGAGATTAATGAAAACACAGACATAACATAGCAGAATCTATGGGACACATTGAAAGCAGTTCTAAGAGGTAAATTCATTGATTGGAGTTCATTCCTTAAAAAAAGAAAAAACTAACAAATAAATGATCTCATACTTTATCTCAAAATCCTAGAAAAAGAAGAGCAAAACAACAGCAAAAGAAGTAGAAGGAAAGAAATAATTAAAATCAGGGCTGAAATTAATGAAATCGAAACAAAAGAAACAATTGAAAAAATTGACAAACCTAAAAGTTGGTTCTTTGAAAAAATAAACAAAATCGACAGACCCTTAGCCATGCTAGCGAAGAGAAGAAGAGAGAGAACTCAAATTACTAGCATACGGGATGAAAAAGGCAATATCACAACAGACAATTCAGAAATACAGAAGATAATCAAAAATTATTTTGAATCCTTATACTCCAATAAATTAGAAGATAGTGAAGGCATCGATAAATTTCTTAAGTCATATGATCTGCCCAGATTGAGTCAGGAGGATATAGACAACCTAAACAGACCAATATCAATTGAGGAAATAGAAGAAACCATCAAAAGACTACCAACTAAGAAAAGCCCAGGACCGGATGGGTATACAGCAGAGTTTTACAAAACCTTTAAAGAGGAACTAATACCAATACTTTTCAAGCTACTTCAGGAAATAGAAAAAGAGGGAGAACTTCCAAATTCATTCTACGAGGCCAACATCACCCTGATACCTAAACCAGACAAAGACACTTCAAAGAAAGAAAACTACAGACCAATATCTCTAATGAACCTAGATGCAAAAATCCTCAATAAAATTCTGGCGAATCGGATACAAAAACATATCAAAAAAATTGTGCACCATGATCAAGTAGGATTCATCCCTGGGATGCAAGGCTGGTTCAATATACGGAAATCAATAAATGTTATTCACCACATCAATAGACTTAAAAATAAGAACCATATGATCATCTCGATAGATGCGGAAAAAGCATTCGACAAAGTACAGCATCCCTTTATGTTCAAAACTCTAGAAAAACTAGGGATAACAGGAACATACCTCAATATTGTAAAAGCAATCTATGCTAAGCCTCAGGCTAGCATCATTCTGAATGGAGAAAAATTGAAGGCATTCCCTCTAAAATCTGGAACAAGACAAGGATGCCCTCTCTCACCACTTCTGTTCAACATAGTTCTCGAAACACTGGCCAGAGCAATTAGACAGACGAAAGAAATTAAAGGCATCAAAATAGGAAAAGAAGAACTTAAATTATCACTATTTGCAGATGACATGATTCTATACCTAGTAGACCCAAAAGGGTCTACAAAGAAACTATTAGAGCTAATAAATGAATTCAGCAAAGTGGCAGGATATAAAATCAACACGCATAAATCAAAGGCATTCCTGTATATCAGCGACAAATCCTCTGAAATGGAAATGAGGACAACCACTCCATTCACAATATCCTCAAAAAAAAAAAATAAAATACTTGGGAATCAACCTAACAAAAGAGGTGAAAGACTTATACAATGAAAACTACAGAACCCTAAAGAGAGAAATAGAAGAAGATCTTAGAAGATGGAAAAATATACCCTGTTCATGGATAGGCAGAACTAACATCATCAAAATGGCGATATTACCAAAAGTTCTCTATAGGTTTAATGCAATGCCAATCAAAATCCCAACGGCATTTCTTGTAGAAATAGAGAACGCAATCATGAAATTCATATGGAAAAATAAAAGACCCAGAATAGCAAAAACAATGCTAAGCAGGAAGTGTGAATCAGGCGGTATAGCGATAGCAGACTTCAAACTATACTACAGAGCAATAGTAACAAAAACAGCATGGTACTGGTACCAAAACAGGCGGGTGGACCAATGGTACAGAATAGAGGACACAGAAACCAATCCACAAAACTACAACCACCTTATATTTGATAAAGGGGCTAAAAGCATGCAATGGAGGAAGGATAGCATCTTCAACAAATGGTGCTGGGAAAACTGGAAATCCATATGCAACAAAATGAAACTGAATCCCTTTCTCTCGCCATGCACAAAAGTGAATTCAAAATGGATCAAGGAGCTTGATATCAAATCAGAGACACGCCGTCTGATAGAAGAAAAAGTTGGCTATGATCTACATACTGTGGGGTCGGGCTCCAAATTCCTCAATAGGACACCCATAGCACAAAAGTTAATAACTAGAATCAACAAATGGGACTTACTCAAACTAAAAAGTTTTTTCTCAGCAAAAGAAACAATAAGAGAGGTAAATAGGGAGCCTACATCCTGGGAACAAATCTTTACTCCTCACACTTCAGATAGAGCCCTAATATCCAGAGTATACAAAGAACTCAAAAAATTAGACAATAAGAGAACAAACAACCCAATCAACAAATGGGCCAAGGACCTGAACAGACACTTCTCAGAGGAGGACATACAATCAATCAACAAGTACATGAAAAAATGCTCACCATCTCTAGCAGTCAGAGAAATGCAAATCAAAACCACCCTAAGATACCATCTCACTCTAGTTAGATTGGCAGCCATTATGAAGTCAAACAACAACAAGTGCTGGCGAGGATGTGGGGAAAAGGGTACACTTTTACATTGCTGTTGGGACTGCAGATTGGTGCAGCCAATTTGGAAAGCAGTATGGAGATTTCTTGGAAAGCTGGGAATGGAACCACCATTTGACCCACCTATTCCCCTTCTCGGTCTATTCCCTAAAGACCTAAAAAGAGCATGCTACAGGGACACTGCTACATCGATGTTCATAGCAGCACAATTCACAATAGCAGGACTGTGGAACCAACCTAGATGCCCTTCAATAGATGAATGGATAAAAAAAATGTGGCATTTATACACAATGGAGTATTACTCTGCATTAAAAAATGACAAAATCATAGAATTTGCAGGGAAATGGATGGCATTAGAGCAGATTATGCTAAGTGAAGCTAGCCAATCCCTAAAAAACAAATGCCAAATGTCTTCTTTGATATAAGGAGAGTAACTAAGAACAGAGTAGGGTCGAAGAGCATGAGAAGAAGATTAACATTAAACAGGGATGAGAGGTGGGAGGGAAAGGGAGAGAGAAGGGAAATTGCATGGAAATGGAAGGAGACCCTCAGAGTTATACAAAAGTACATACAAGAGGAAGTGAGGGGAAAGGGAAAAATAATACAACGGGGACAAATGAATGTCAGTAGAGGGTGCAGAGAGAGAAGAGGCGAGGGGAGGGGAGGGGAGGGGGGATAGTAGAGGATAGGAAAGGCAGCAGAACACAACAGACACTAGTATGGCAATATGTAAATCAATGAATGTGTAACTGATGTGATTCTGCAATCTGTATATGGGGTAAAAATGGGAGCTCATAACCCACTTGAATCAAAGTGTGAAATATGATATATCAAGAATTATGTAATGTTTTGAACAACCAACAATAAAAAATTAAAAAAAAAAGAGAAGGATGTTGAGTGTCTTGTCCAAGGTCATGAGTTCAGTAAGTTCTTCCCAAATAATATACAGTTTCTTCTTATTTCTTCTTCATTAGTTTTCTATTTTTCCACCTGTGAGTAATTTATACAGTAGGCTTCATGTGAGCTTTTTGCTTCACTTTTTTTCTCAAATTACGAAATAGTTTGTCCATCATTAGATTTAGAACAATGTCTTCCTTCTTCTCTCATTTTTGTTGCATCTTGAACTCTGCATCAGCCTCTTACATATAATATTTCCATCTATTTTGTAAGAAATTTCCAAGATCAATTTTTCTTTGTGAAGATTACTTCAGATTGATTTACCTTATTTTAGAATATTCATCAATCTATTTTAGTAAGTTTTCTGACAAAGAATTTCTCTTTTTTACAATAATGTAACAAATAGAATCAATCTGTTTGTTTCAAATTTAGTATTAAAGCAGTAAATCAGAGTATTTGTAGTAAATTAAAATTAATTTTTCTTGTGTCATATAGGTACAAATAATTAATTTTTAAATGATTGAGAATTTAATATTTTAAATGTTGTTTAGAAGAAATGCAAAGTAATTGCTGTATCTGTATGAAAATAAATTGTATTTTCAATTTTTGTTTTCTCTGATGCAAAAGATGAACCACTGTGGAACTCAGGCCCCCATCTGGCTTTCTCTAAGAGATTCAGAAACACTGCCTTCTCCTGGGGAGATAAAGCAACTGACAGCTTGTGTCACGTGGCAGTTTTTGTTTAGCACTACACAAGACTGCTGTCTCTTTCAAATCCCAGTGTCTGTACGAAACTGTGGGCAATTTTATGTGTACTTACTACAACCCACTCAGGGATGTATGGGCTATTGTGCAGAAGGTAAGAAAACAGCAGTAATACACATGAGCTGCTAATCATGGAACTGTGGGTGGGTGCATTTGTGCTTGTCTCTGGACGGGTGGTATGGAGCTATTGCAAATCGCAGTAACAGACTTGTCTACCATTTTCACAAAACTGAATCTAAATTTGGTGTTTACTTTGGCCAGGTTCATTTAGGATTCTTGGCCAAGATGTTAAAGTGCTCAAAACTATATACTGATGTGGAAGTATCAAAGAAGGCTCCTGACCTTATTCCTGCTGCACATAATTATTGAGTGTGTTAAAAATTCATTGGTTTTTTCTTGCACTCTTTCCCTCTTTAATTAAAGGATGGAGGATGCTGAGTTATTAAAATCTGGATTTTATCTCATTTCATCTTTCTCTCACCAATAGTTATTGACTGTTTATCCAGTTCCAGCAAGTATTTTAGGCTGTAAGGTCACAGTGCTGAATAAGACAAATGAAATCTTTGTCTTCATGAAACTTATATTCTGCTGAAATCCCTCAGACAATATATAAAAATAAAATGGGTATATCTTAAAGAATAAAATGAATAGCCATTCACTATATTAATTAACATCCACTTACTACAAATATTTATTTATTATACAAGTATATGATTAGAGAAATAAATATAGGAAAGAAGACACAGCTTTCTTAAAGAAGAATTGTGAATAATATTTTTAGCTTTTATTCTACTTAGAAGATGGAGATTGTTTATTCTCATTTTAACTGTGGGACAGACTTTGTGACTTGCTTGCAAATAATAGTGTATGGAAAGGAAAAAATCATAATTTTACAGTGAAGACACTTGGCAGGTCCTACATTTGATCAAAGTCAACATCAGTAGTGATAAAGCATGTGGGTATCATGTATCTCCTGATAACAGTCATTAAAAAGGGTGCTACTCTTTTTTAGTCTTCTTCCCCCAAATCCATACACCAAGTCTAATCATGAGAAAATTTATATAAACTCAGATTAAAGAACATGCTACAGAACACCTGAATAGTATATTTTTAAAATGTCAAAATTATGAGACACCAAGAATAAGTGAGAAGCTGTCATAAATTAGAGTAAAACATGACATATAATTTAATATGATATCCTGAACAGAAAGAAAGGGCAATCAGTAGGAGTCTTCAGTTTATTTAAGAGTCTAAACCTAAAGTCAATTTCTTAGCTTTGATAAATGTATCATGGTTTTGTAATATGTTAACATTTGCAGAACATAGATAAGGGATGTATAGAAAAGCTCTAGGTTACTTTTTAAAAAAAATTTAAAATATTTCTTTTCTAGTTGTAGTTGGACATAATTTGTTTTATTTATTTATTTTTATGTGGTGCTGAGGATTGAACCCAGGGCCTCTCACGTGCTAGGCAAGTGCTCTACTGCTGAGCCACAACCTTAGCCACTCTAGGTTACTTTTTAAAATGTTTTGTTTTGTGAGATTCTAAAGTTATTCTAAACTAAAACATTGATCAAAAAACAAAAATAAAACTATTTTGGAAATTAATATGGTATAAAATAAAGAAAACTGGTGCATGCAATAGGAATGGGTTGACATAGGGATGCTATTATAAAGGATACCTGTGGAAATCTCTGAACAGCTGATGAGTTTGGGCTGACATGTGAATGAGGCAAATGGCAGTCAAGAAAAAATATGGGGGAAAAGCATTCTCAGTAGAAAGAACAGCAAATGCAAATGTCCTCAGATGGGTATGAAGATAGAACTGATGGAGGAAATCAAAGAACTGATGGAGGAAATCTGGCCACGCACAGAGCAAGTGGATTGTCTTAGGAGATGAGGTCAGAGAAGCAAGAAGGTGGCGGTAACTCTAGGGTCTTCAGTTCATGGTAAAAACTTACATTGAGTCATAACTACAGTGTAAAGTTTTAGGGACTTTTAAAAAGGTGAGTAATACGCTCTTGGGATTGAATTTAAAATGACATTACTCCTGCAGAAAGATGCCCATAGCCTATTGCATTCATTCCATAGAGAAATGGTGGTGTCTTAAAAGGGACAGGGGTGGAAATTCTTAGACTAGGTGTCATTTTCAGGCAGACCTGGTGAACTGGATATGGGAGAAGGAAACAGAGGAATCAAAGACAGTAAGAATCTAGGATTTTTTCTTGAGTTACTAAGGCTGGGGTGCAAATATTAGATTGTGAAGAGAGGGTAATCAAGTTCTATTTGGTCTATTATCCAAGAGGAGACATGACATTCCCAGATGAAGAATTCACACCTGACTCATGAGTCTGACTCTGACCATGATGTTCACTAAGGATGTTGTGAAATAGAGATCCTTTTTGGAGTGCCCAGAACATACTAATGTAAAGCTCACCAAAGATAATTGAGCTTAATGAAACACTGTTTCATTTTTCTCTCTACTCAATTATGACTTAGGAACTCTTCTAAAATTGATAATGTGTTCTTTACATCAGGATGTCATGACTTGGTATGTTGAATAAAAAAGAGATTCAACAAATGATAAAAGTGTTTAATAGAACTAGTGGCATAACCCTTCAGATGCAAGAAGTTCAAAACAGAAAGACACTACATCATGGATTTTTTTTTTTTTTTTGGCTTAGATTGGTTAGACAATGATGAACCAATAAGTTGGGGATTTATCCTGTACTCTCTCTAGAAGGATAGATGTTCTCATGTATCACTGATTTGGAAAAGAAACTAACCTGCAGTGTGTTATCTGGGCCCAACCGTATCCCATGTGGGAGACTGAAATGCTGGGAGATACTATTGCAGATCAGAGTTATCAACTTATGTAAACATTTGATTCAGCAAATAGTATTTAATTATGTCAGTAACACAACACATAAATATTTTAGAGTCCCCAAACTAACAAACCCTAAATAACATACATGCAGAAAAACAAATAAAATAGTTATTCAAGTATTAGAGTAGTTAAAATAAACCCTTATTTTGAGTTTTAATAACGAAATTAGCCATACTAAATGTCCAATCTCAAAAATCATTTTACTGGGCTGGGAATATAGCTCAGCTGGTAGAGTGCTCACCTAGCATGCACTAAGGACCTGGGTTCAATCCCTGGTCCCACAAAAAAATCATTTTACTCATTATAGATATAGAATATGAACCATTATTGTTAGGAAAAAGAGTTTCTTTAAAGTTTCTATCATCTTTAACCTCATGAAAAACTATTTCTTAATGCCAGCATGAAGAGTTTTCTTAAGTATTTATTTGTATTGGCAGTGCAAAAATAACAGTTTTAATATTTTGTAGGTTTGTAACTCTTTTTTTCCATAAAAACAATTTCAAACATCCCAGTTTCCCATTATGTTTTCACTGCCATATTATTTTCAAAATTTCTTGTGAATATATCATCACTAGTCAAAACTTCTAAGGAAATAAGGCATTATTGTCTACACAAGAATAGAGACTGATTTATGAAGATAATGCTAGAGAAATATATTCTTATTTTGTTTTGGGGAATACATAAAAAAATTTTAGTAAATGAAATAATTTATATTTATTTTGTCATTAATTTCCCAGTAGTAGTTCTCTCTTGAAAAAATAGAAATATAGTGTTGACTAATAAGATAAAAAATATATGACATAAAATTTTTTAGTTCAAACAGATATTTACTGGCAATATTCTACAATAATAATATTCTACAATAATACACACACACACACACACACATATATATATATATATATATATATATATATATATATTTTTTTTTTTACTGGAATCGTTTATTTTCCAATCAATAAGGCAAGTCCTTAATATAGAGGGGTAGACAAAATAAATGTGGTCCCTGACTTCACAGCACAAAATATTTGTACAGTTAGTAATTGTAATTAGTAGCATGAATGGAAAGATTAAAATTTGCTGTAGAAATGGAGGTAAGGGGAGAATGTAATTTGCAATGCCATGTCACTAGAGAAAGCCTTTCCGATGAAATGGCATTGGTGCTGAGAGCTGGAGGGTAAACAGTTCATGGTCAAACTGTAAGGGGAAAATCATGCCAAACAGCAATCACAGCAAGTGACAGGCCCTAAAGCAGTAAGTGTGCTGTGCACAGACTGATAGCAGGACAGAGATGTTGGATCCAGTGAGTGAGGCAGAGCACAGACACCTGTATGAAAGAGCAGCAAGGCCTGATCATTGAGGGACCTCTGTATTTTGTTCTGCCACATTGGATTTCAAAGCAAGATCCAACTATAGGCTATCTAGAGAAATACTTCATATATAAAGAAAAATGGGTTTAAAGGTATAAGGATTGGGACTGGGGTTGTAGCTCAGCGGTAGAATGCTCGCCTTGCACCTGTGAAGCTGGGTTAGATCCTCAGCACCATATAAAAATAAATTAATAAAATAAATGTATTGTGTTCATCTACAACTAAAAATAAATTTTAAATAAAAGATATAAGGATAAAAGATGTACTTAAGTAACACTAATCACAAGAAATCTAGAGTAGCTATATTAATATTAGACAATGTAGATTACAGGCCAAAGAATATTACCAGGAAAAAGAAGGGTCATTTCCTAAGGATAAAATGATCAATTCAACAAGAGGACCATACAGTTCCATTGTATGATGATGATGCACCTAATGACAGATTCTAAATACGTGAAGCAAAACTGATAATTTTATAAACAGAAATGGGCAAATCTATAATTATTATTGGAAATTAACATCCATCTGCCAATAATTGATTGAGCATATAAAAACAGAAACAGCAAAAATGGAGATTAGAACAACTCTGTCAATGAACTTGATCTAGATGACATTTAAAGAAGACTTCATTCACACAAACATTCTTTACAAGTGGATATGAAGCATTTGGCACATAAAATAAATTCTGAGCTCTAAATTAGAAAAGAAAATTAGAGAAAATTAGAATACTAGAAAAAATTGAAGCTAATTAGTGTTAAAACCCACTAAACATCTATAATGAAAGACAAGAAGAGTCATAAATTCAGTATCTGTTTATATAATAAGAGACTAAAAAGCATAAATGAGACTCAGAGCAAAAAGATGAAAGGAAATGATCAAAATAGAAAGCAATGAGGTACAATAAAGAAAATGCAATAAAATCAAAGGATGGATCTTTTGAGAAGTTCAATAAAATTAACAATTCTCTGGCCAGTCTGATCAGTAAAGAAAGACAATATTGGGACTGGGGATATAGCTCAGTGATAAAGCCTAGCATGCACAAAGTCCTGGGTTCAATTTCAGCACTATACGTGCACATTCTATTACCACTACCACCAACAACATAAACAATAACAATTACAACAAACACAGTACCATGAATAAGAGAGGTGATTAAATTACAAATTCTACAACTACAAAAGCTAAAACCAAAAAAAGAATTATTATGGACTACTCTATGCCAGTACATTTGACAACTTAGACGAAATAGACAAATTTTTAAAAATATGCTGACAGTCAAAAACCATTAAAAATAAACTTATAACCTTAATGGTCTTATATCTATTAAATAAATTATATTTCTAGGGGCTTGGGTTGTGACTGCATGATAACTCGAGTGCTTGCCTAGCATGTGTGAAGCACTGGGTTTGATCCTCAGCACTACTCTAAATAAATAGATAGATAGATAGATAGATAGATAGATAGATAGATAGATAGATAGATAGACAGACAAAGGTATTGTGTCCATTTACGACTAAAAAATAAATATTAAAAAAATAAATTAGGGCTGGGATTGTGGCTCAGCGGTAGAGCGCTCGCCTCGCATGTATGAGACCCTGGGTTCAACTTTCAGCACCACATAAAAATACATAAGTGAAATAAAAGGTATTGTGTCCAACTACAACTAAAAAAATAAATATTTTTTAAAAAGAAATTATATTTCTAGTTAAAATTCATCCCACAAAGATGAATTGGCCCAGATGGTTGTCATCGGGAATTTTGTAAACATTTAAGGAAGAAATAATACCAATTTTGCATAAACTCTCCGGCATAAAAGAAAAGGAGCTACTTCTGAACTTCTGTGAGGACAACATACTCTAAAACTTAAACCAAACATAGATATACAAGAACAGGAAACTCTAGAACAATAACCTCATGAATATAAATGCAGATGAAATGATCATCCATTTTCAAAAAACTCCAGTGGAATCTATAAAATAGCTACCAGAGGTGAGTTTAACAATGTTGAAGGAAAAAAGATCAACATGTGAAAATAATTTGCATTTTTTATAATAGCAATGAATATTCAGAAATTTCATCTAACTTACCAATTATAAACCAAAAATCATGAAACACTTTGGAATCAATCTGACAAAAGATGCACAAGACTTGTATAGGGAAAACTATAAAACATTGCTGAGAAACATAAAAACCTAAGTTAATGAAGAGAGAAAATATTATGGATTGAAAGACTCGATTTTAATGTGCTAGTTCTTTACAAACTAATTTGTAGTTCCAGAATGGTCCTAATAAATATGTCAATAATCTTTCTTGTGGAAATTGACGAATTCATTCTAAAATTCACATGGCAACACAAAATACCTATAATACTCAAAACTATTTTGGTAAGGTAATAAGTTGAACAACTTATACTACCTGACTTTCAAACTTATTCCAAAATTATAATGATGTAGACAGTGTATATTTACAGCAGGATAAATAGGTAGATGAATGAAAAAGAATAAAATCCAGAAAAGAGCAACACAGTTACTTGATATTCAATACAGAAACATAACCAATTCTACAAAGGAAGAATTGCATTTTCAACACAAGCAAAAATATGTTTGTATGCAAGAAATTTAGTTCACATCTATTGTCAAAATACAAAAAAAAATTACATTTATCATAGACAGAACCGTAAAAGCTAAAAATATAAATCTTCCCGGGAATATTTTCACTTTCAGGTGAAAATACTTGTAATCTTAGGTTAAACAAACATTTCTAAAATACAAAACTAACATTGTTAGCTACAAAACCCATAAATTGAACGAGTATGAATAAAGGTGCTGTAAATATCCTGCTCAAGTTTTTGTGTAAAAATAAGTTTTTAACCCTCTGGGAAAATACCAAGAAGCACAATTGCTGTATTAGTATAAGAATATACTTAGTTATACATCAAACTATCAAACTCTTTCAAAGTTACCATACCATTTTGTATGTCCAACCAGTAATGTGTGAGAATTCACATCCTTATCAGTATTTGGTATTGTCAGCATGTTTCATTACTTAATAATGCAGATTCAAATTTAGAAAACAAGATACAAAATTATGACTATTTTGAAATATAATTCCTTACTTCCATTTGATATTATCTTTGGGGGAAAATTTTTATTATGAAAAAAATAAACCCAGAGAGAACAACTAAGAAAATCTGTCTTAGTCATTAAAACATACTTCTCCAAGGAATTGGCATCTTGGATATATGTAGATTTATACCTTTATGTCCAGTTAAATATAAAACCTTAACTTTTTGCAGCTATTTCTGATGCAAAATTACACACATGTGGACCAGAAGAAATAGAAATTGGAGGGGATTGTGTTGGTGAGTATAAAATTTTGTGTTTAATAATGTATTTATAAACTATTTATTTTTAAAAAGTACTTATGTTTTGGGACTTTAAATGTTGAATATACTAACATTTGACAATGCCACAGTCTGGTACATATCAAATATAAAAAAGCACTTTATTGTGCTTTTAAGATACATTCCTAGAGTTGGCAGAAGTACAAAGAATTAAGGAAACAAAATGTTGGTAGAACTTTTTATGAGAAAAGTTGGTAATTTATCTCAACACTTTTAAAAATCCACATGTGTTTGTGCTTCAATTCTTACTTCAAAAAAAATCTATCTTCAAGATCTATTCACGGACATGTGCATGCCCAGTATTAATAAGAGGCCTTTTTTCTAATAATGGTAAAATAAAGATGCAAATATATAATAACCATTGATTGGCTAAGAATTTCTGATGTGCAGGTAATTACAAGAGGTTCTGTAAACACCATGAAAATGTAGAGGTGTGTTCTTTGATATTAGTAGATATTCATGGCATATTGTAACTAAGAAATAACATTATGCAATACAATCTGCAGTACAATTTTGTCTTCTAAGCTTGGAATGGAACCATCATTTGACCCAGTTATCCCAAACCTTGGTATATACCCAAAGGACTTAAAATCAGCATACTACAGTGATGCAGCCACATTCATGTTTATAGCAGCTCAAGTCACAGTAGCTAAGCTATGGAACCAACCTAAGTACCCTTCAACAGAAGATTGGATAAAGAAAATGTGGTATATATACAAAATGAAATATTGCTCAGCCTTAAAAAGAATGAGTTTATGACTTTTGCAGGTAAATGGAGGGAACTGGAGACTATCATGCTAAGTGAAATAAGCCAATCCCCAAAAACCAAAGGCTGAATGTTCTCTCTGACATGTGGATGCTAACACACAATAAGTGGGGGAGGATAGAAGTTCATTCGATTAGACAAAGGGGAATGAAGGAAAGAGGGAGATGGGAAGAGGAAAGATGGTAGAATGAATTGGACATAACTTTCTTATGTCTATATATGAATACACGACCAGTGTAACTCCACATCATGTATAATCACAAGAGTGGTTAGAATAAGTTATATTTATTAGAATAAGTTAAACTTCATGTATGTATAATGTGTTAAAGTACACTCTACTGTTATGTATACCTAAGAAGAATTTTTAAAAATTTTGTTTTCTAGGAAGATTGCATTTGTGCCAAACAAGTTTTGAAAGTTAAACACCAAAGGTATTACTGGTGGTCAATATTTTTCAACTCCATTCAATCCATATTTTTCCTTTGCTATTTTTGCTTAATGTTTTAAAGTTATTTTAAATATTAAGAACTCACCTACTTATAATATTTTTTTAAAATAAATCACTCTAAAATAGATAGTCTAAATAACAAAATGTATGCCATATGCCTACAGGATGGGCAGAAATTAAAACATTTGTTCAAACATTAGCCTTTTCATGGGACCTCTAGTCAAATTAGTGAGATAAAGTTGACATATAATTACTATATCTAACAAAGGTGATTTATATGGTGAAAGAAATCATAATGAGATCAAATAAATCAGGATAGATATAATGTTCAAAGTGCCAGGGCTAAAAATTAATTTGCTTTGTCTTTTAAAAATCTGTTATATCGTGTGCATGTATGACATGTAACAACAAATCCCACCAACAAGTATAATTATAATGCACCAATAAAAAATTTAAAAATAAATAAGTAAACAAAAAAGTTATTAAATAAAGCACTAAATTGGTGTTCCAGGTACTGTTCTAATTGCAAATAGATTTTCCAACCTCTTTTTCTGGTATTATCTAAATAAATTGTTATTATATATGAAAAGCTGTTTAATTAGGTCCTCTGATGTAAATTCATAGAAGAATAAAACAATATGCCTTAGTAGCAGTAAGCATCAAGTATAATAATTTGGCTAATCTGCATAGTAGTTATGGATTTTCTTTATGATGTACTTACAGTAAAACACTTTTCTTCCTTCAATAAAAATAATTTTCAGCAAGTTGTTGTGCTGTTCAAAATGTTTATTTAACTAATTGGGAAATACATACTATACAAAATTGTATATAACTTGGGGAAGTAACACCTGAGTGAAAATATTTAACATAAGTTTGCGACTTGGCTTATGTTTGAAATGTTTCTCAAAATATTTGTTAATTAATTTGAAAATAATTCATTTATCACTGGAACTTTGGAATAGTATATCTAACAAAATATGATATCTAACAAATATCTGAAAGTATATTTTCTTTAGAGAAGCGACCTTAAAAGAAGGACTCTTGGAATTTTCCAAAATCTAAATGATAGAGTTGAAAGACTGTTTTTTGTGGTTGTCTTAAAATTATTATATATATATATATATATATATATATATATATATATATATATATATATATATTAATATATATATATATATTACAAAAATTATTTGAACATTTCAGAGTAGTTTTAAAACCTATTTTTAGAATTTATTACTCAGAAAAATAAAACAAAATTTATCACTCAAATATTTTTCTTTTTAAAAAACAAAACAAAAACCTTTCAGATCCTCCAATTTAATTTTGAAAATACCCAGAATTAAAATATAAATATATACTCGTATGAAGAGTTCCTAGAAAAAAATTTCAAATGTTATCCTCAGAAAAATGAAAAGAATAAGACTATTGTTTAGCACTTGATATATTTTACTGACGGTACAATCACTCCCCAGTGAACAGCTCTTTCAACCTAAAGCAATGAAGAGTTGCTTTATGAGAGTACATTATAAGAGTAAAAAAGAAAGTCATTTAAGTTTACATTAGTGACTACTTTATAACAAGGAATTATAATGTATGAAACCTGAACTATGTTTGTTATGTGTTTTAAAAAAGACGATTGGCTAAAAGATTGTAAATTACTTTTATTTTCAGGAGCCAGACTTTTCGGGAGTAAACATTTAAAATGCAATAATATAAGCTTGATGATTTAAGGTGCCCTGCTGTCAATCAATACTTACGTGATTGTCAATGTGAACGTGCTGCTTTGTTGACTACTAGAAAATAATAATTTTACTGAATTTATTTCCTTTTTTAAAGATAAATCCTGAAGTTATAGCCTTTTTGTGATTATTTCATTCTTCAAGATGCTCAAGTAGAAATGATGCTTCTTCTCCCACCAGGTCAGGTGTCGGCCTCATTGCCACCTCCACCTCCAGGAAGGCCAGAGGTTGTGGTGGAGCTGATTGAGTCCAGGCTCTTCTGTAGGTGTGCTTTTGATGTTTCCCCTACAAACAGCTCGGTGGGATTTCTCATAGCTTGGTCTAGGCTTTCTTCTCAAGAAATCAAAGAGGAGCTGAAACAGGAGACCACAGTTCAGGCATTTTCTCTTTTAGAACTTGATGGCATAAATCTCAGACTTGGAGACAGGGTATGTTAACAAAAACTGGATTTGTTTTTCTTTTCATTAATGTATTGATTGTTCAAACATGAGATATTATATATATATATATATATATATATATATATATATATATATATATATATGAGATTTTTGTCCTCAGAATAGAAAACACTAAGGTTCTCCTTCTGTTTTTTCCTTTAGCAACTGTGCCAATTCTAGTGATATCTAGATGACTCAGTAACATAATCTTAGTGACTACATATGAATATCTTTTTTTAGCAACGTGCTGATTATTATCAACGAGTCTCTGTAACTGTATGTCTTTTCTGGGTTTTAAAATTATATTCTAATATTTTGGACAACAATGCTTTAATTTTTTCAATGATGATATATTATGTTTATCTACTTTCAAATACATCTTAAGTGAAAAGGCTACTACATTTTAATTTATGTTGAGATTTGAATGAGTAATATTTTATAATGATGAATTTTTTTTTAAATTTCAGGCAAGTAATTAAATTACTCAGTTCTTTTATCTGCTATACACTATCTACCAAGAATTAAATTAAATTAAGAATTTAAAGATAATAATTAACACGTTTTTTAATATTTTTTTTACTAAATTGTTATTTGTTCACTGTATTTATAGATATTCTGTAGTGCATCCATCTTTTTCTTGGAGAAACCACATATACAAAGTTTAGCCATCGAAAGCCAGGAATTTTTTGCGGGCATAAAGGTATGTAGTAGAAGGGATGAATCAGAAAGATTATTCTTCTGGAACTAATTCCCCAAGTGGTGATCTTTTCATAAAGTTTTCTGGCTGAATCTGAAAGGTAAGACTCAGTAGTCTATATTTTTGAGAAATAATTCCAACAATTCTAAGGAACAACAAAATTTGAGAATCCCTATTAATGAACTAAGGTTGATATGTACAGATGCTCTTCAACTTACAATGGTATTACCTCCCAAGGAACTCATCACAAGTTGAGAAAAATGTTAAGTCAAAAATGCATTTAATACAGCTAACCTGCCTAATGTCATAGCTTAATAACACAGTACATTGTAGGGTATTAGTTGCTTTCCCTCATGATTACACTGGTGACTGGGAGTTGTGACTCACTGCCATTGCAGAGCACAGGCATATTGCTAGCCTGGGAAAAGAACAAAATTCAAAATTCAATGTGTGGTTTCTATCTAATGTGTGTCACTTTTGAACCAACGTAGTGAAAGTATCCTACTTGAACTATCATAATTCAAGCTCTCGTGGATTTATCTTTAAAGAAATAGCTCTAATGAAAGTAAAGGCTTTATCCCCATAATTCAGTCTGTCATTTAACTAAAAATTAACATATCAATATTGAGTTATTGTGCATTTTTGAAGTCAGGTACCAGACCAAGACTCAGAGCTCTAGTCTTTATGGATTGCAGTGATTGAGCTAATTTAACAATGGATTATATTTAATTATTGCTAGTAGCACTAGGGTCTAACAGGTGAGCAGAGGTGACAGGAAATCAGAAGTGGTGGAAGGCATGGAGCAATATCAAGAAGTCCAAGCAGGCAAGAGCCATGCATCTGCAGGTCTCCTCACTCACATAATTGGAATTTGACTTGCAGTCACTCCAAGTTTGAAGACAAGTTGGAAAAAAGACAGATTGTGAGAACAGTACTCAGGACCAGAATAAAACCTATTTCTAGATAAAGTTCATGTTACACTGCAGGCACCACGAAAAGAAGACTGAACCACATCGTCAGAATAGCATACCCATAGTGGGAGGGGAAGGACACAGGATGCTTGTGATCTGCTTGGTAACACCAAGCAGACAAGGTCAAGGCCCAGTGGTTAGCTTCTAGTACTGTTTCAAATTAGACTAACAGAATAGTCAATACTAAAGCACATCTCTGTTGAGAGCTAGTCAAATTCCCCAACTCAAAAAAAAAAAAAAAATTCTGTGAACTGGATTAGCGTGCAATAGTACTCAGTAAGTCTACTTGTAGAAAGCAGAAACTCATAAATATCCTGAGAGTTGAGATATTTCAGGTGACAACAATCATTTGATCTACCTATAAAATATAACTAAATTTCTGATTAAGATGGTGGGTATAAATCCCTGAAAATAACCAAACTTACATTGGAATAAGAGCAAACAAGTTTAAGAAAATGGAATTCTGTTTTTCCTCCATTCTACAGTGCCCATCACAGACAAGGCAGGCTTTGACATGACTTATCCTACCATGGGTTGGAGAATCAAAATGTCGTTCTAACCCAGTGGTACAATAGCTCCGTGTATACCTCTGCATGCTGCTTATGTTTTAATTGGTTTGGTCTAAATTGATTTTATTAGTTAAAAAAAATTCCAGGGCTTAAGTTATTACCAGCTCATTTAGCAAAAGAAAAGCTGTTAAGAAAACGTGTTTTTAAAATTATATTTTAAAACAAATTCTATTTTAACCTAACATTCTATATGTTGCTACACCAGTTACAACCTGAATTGAGTACTATATCAGAAGATGGGAAAGAATACCAGCTGAGGATAGAGAGTACAATTCCTATTGTTTGTTCTGAATTTAGTGAGCTTGATCAAGAATGCAAAATCTCATTAAAGCTGAAAACTGTTGATCAAGGTAATATACTAAGTTCATTTGATTTTGTTATTAGATTTCAAATGGTAACTGATGCTTTTTCTTCTCTAGGAAAAGTACCTGGAATATACTCATCTTCTAAATTATACTGCATGTTTACATCAAATTATAGCTGAATCATATTAATACTGCTGGATCAAATTGATGATTGCCAAAGCAAATCCTAGTTATTCTTCTTGGGATCAAAGCATACGTTTAAAATAATAGTGAACAATCTCCTATTTGTAGTCATCTTCCTACACCCTTTCTTTTCCTTCCTTCTCCTTCTAATTTTCATTCTGCTTCTCATTCTCTTACTTGTTCCTTTCTTTGCTTTATTTTCAGAGATTGAAGGACAAACTGTTCTTTTAAGATTTTCCAAATCATCCTCAATGAGGGAGGTGTGATAAGTTATACTAAAAGTTCAGGTTATGAAACATGGATCTCATAACACACGCTTCACACTTCTTAATGTAAGATAAGTTTGTGGATCTTTAAATTCTTCCATTTAAATTGCTAATTCTGCAAATGTCATATTGCAAGGTCACATATACGTCACTGTGACAGCCATATAAAGAGAATGGAAACCCACTCATAGTGTTGACAAGATGGAATATCAGAGGAGAAACCATGAAGAGCAGTTGTTGGGTTGATTGAGTTCTCTTCCCCCTTAAGTCTCTGATCAAATCAAGTAAGAGATATATAGACCTAACCTATAAGAGAGATTACAGTTCTGTTACATACCACATGCTGTTTTAGCCAGCTTTTCACTGCTATAACTGAAAGACTGACAAGAACAATTTTAGAGGAGGAAAAGTTTGGGGGGGGCTCATATTTTCAGGGGTCTCACTTACTAAAGGTGGCTGGCCCCATTGTTCTGGACCCAAGATAGGCAGAACATCATGGCAGAAGGGCAAGGCAGAGGAAAGCAGGTCAGGATCTGGCCACCAAGAACAGAAAGAAGGGGACTTCCTCTCACCTAGGATAAATGTCTACCTCAGAAGCATGCTCCAATGACTCACCTCCTTCAGCCACACCTTACCTGCCTGCAGTGACCACCCAATTGACTTTTCTCAGGATATTAATGCACTGATTAGGTTAGAACTAGCATAACATAATTATTTCACCTCTATTTTTTTTATACCAGGGATTGAACCCAGGAGTGCTCAAATACTGAGCTATATCTCCAACCATTTTTTTTCATTTTACATATTTTTTATTTTTTTAAGTTGTAGATGATACAATCTTTATTTATTTCTTTTTATGTGGTGCTGAGGATCGAACCCAGTGCCTCATGTGTGTGAAGCAGGCATTCTACCACTGAGCTACAACCCCAGCCCCTTTCATTTTATATTTTAAGACAGGGTCTATCAGGGTTGCTTAGGGTCTCACCAAGATGCTGAGGCTGGCTTTCATCTTGAAATTCTCCTGCCTCAGCCTCCTGAGAAGCTGGGATTACAGGCATGTGCCACCTTGCCTGGCTTCTACCTCTAAACTTTCTTATACTGTCACACATGAGTTTTTGGGAGACAACTAATATCTAAACCATAATACATACCTTTTATAGTACAAAAGTACAATGCATATTTTTGTAGGTCTTAATGTCCATGTTCAAAAGGATAAAAAGGCCACACAGTATAATGGGGTCAGAGACAATCTCATGAGAATGTGCATCCAAGAAAAAATATGGGTAAGGAGATAGAGAAATTAAGAGATGTCTTCCTAAGATATTTGACAGTTAAAAAGGCTTGATTAATGCCCAGCTACTAACCCAGATTTCAGGAGCACCATGAGCAACATTATATTTTAATTACAGCCTAGAAATATGGAAAAATGGTCTTTTGCTCAGACATTTAGACATAGTTCTACTTCAAGCTACCTTTTGAATACATAATAGGAAAATGTTACTACAATTTATGGGCAAAATAGAATACAATGCTATTATTGTTTTTCAAAATTGTATTGGACAATTTTCCTTCATTTATAAGAATACCTTAAAATATATTTGCATGCTCTCAAGTCTTTTAATAAAGCAGGCATTGCCAGTGTAAAGATAGCCTTAAATATATTTCCTACATGTTAGAAGTTGTGTGCTCTTATCCTTTGTTAAAAATTCTCCCTGCCCTCCTTCTCTTTGTATCTTTTTCTGTCTTCTCGCTCTTTCTCCTTGTGGAAAATTTCTGGATTTCATTTTGGATATTCCTCTTCTTAGGTATTTAAGTGCATTTCTATTAAATCTCTACTTTCATAGGGAATATGTTGGTGTCTCAGTGAATTTCTACATAGACAGCGTTGATTTTTCTCAGGCTTAAGAGAAGGATGTTCAGCCCTCTCATATCATAAACTAGGCAGGTGAGATTATTGGCAGTGACCACCATTGGTCATTGTATTCAAGTCCCAAATACCCCATATTCACCTTAGGAAGCCAGTTAAGAGTTTGGGTATTTCCTTTTTTTTATGTGTATGAGAAAAGTTTATATTTCTCGGAAAAGCACATAAAAGAAATTTTTCCTGAATTTTGACTCCAATGCAGTGTACCTGTGCCTAACCATTATAATTCCATTCCTGAATAATTTGTGTGGGAGAAAAGATAAGAGTTTTTAAATTATTTCTTCCTCCTTCATTCCTAGAAGGACTTTATAATCATTAATTGTATATAAAAAATACTATGTTTTTGCCAGTTTTAAGGGGGAAATCCTTTTTTTTTTTGGTCTAGTTATACAAATTTTTTATTCTTTGCTACCATTTCCTTTTTAAATTCGTTTCTTGGGCTAAAGCTGTAGTTCAGTGTTAGAGTGCTTGTCTAGCACATTTGAAGCAATGGGTTCAATCTTCAGCACCACATAAAAATAAGTAAATAAAAGTATAAAAAAGAAATCTTTTTGCATTCTTTGTTACCTAGGTGAGGGAGTTTGTGAATGTATTGGCACATTTGAGAGGCAAAGGGAGATAGTTTACTATGGGTCTGGGGTTGGCTTTTCATTTGTGTTGACTTTACTATTTCTTAAGATGATGAACCCTATATAAATAATTAAATCTATTACTATAATCTCCAGTGTATGAGACATGAAGAAATGCCCTAAAATTTATTATAGAACAATCTGGACATGGGGTGCAGTTGTTAGATAGAAAAAGAAATAAAATTATGTGTCTTGGTACTATAATTATGACTTTTTTAAAAGAAAGACAACTTTTGCTTATTGCTTTTTTACATCTTGTTAGACAGTTTTTAGCACATAATAATTGCATATGTACAGTGTACATTGTACATATACTTATACTTGAAGTATACATACATGTACTTCAAAACATGTAAATAAAATATATTGATCAAATCAAAGTTATTTATATCTTCATCTCTATCATTACTTTGTTATTTATTGTTTTTAAATTTTATCTGGGAGCATATGGATTGGTAACTTGGTTGAAAATAAATAGTAATGTATATGTATGTACAAATATATGTATATTTTCAAGTTTATCAATTATCTGTAAAAATCAGGTAGATTCAATAACTTTTTTTTCTTATTCTAACTAGGATCCCAGTCTTGTGGTTATACATGATATGGAGATTCATTGTGGCATATTCATAGATGTACATAGGAAAGTTGTGTCAGATTCATTCCACTGTATTTCCAATTTGTTTTAACTTAGATGAAAATTTCAAAAATATTTTTTTAAGAAAGAGAAAATGCTTTAAGAGTAATCACTCTATTTAATGTTTCATATGTATATACTGTTGGGAAAATTATCAACTTTTTTATTATTAAATAGGTAAAGAACACCCTGGCGTAAACTTGGCACTGTCTTCCTGCAATGTGGACCTCCACCAGACAACATCCTGTGCCAACGGCACCTATGGCCAAGCTTCCCTGTATTACATCGCTGTCTCAGATTTTTCACAAGATGGAGACAGAGTTACGAACATTGTTGTAGAACCTATAGTGAATAAGGATTTCCTGTGGAACAGCTATATTCCAGACAGCATCCAGGTTGACAAATTTAAAATAATCTTTATAATTTAAACTTAAAATGATATGTGTATTTTATCACTGTATCTTGTAAATTTTAATTTTAAAGTTATTGATAATTATGAGTTTTAAATTATTCCATTTTCAATATGTAAGACAAGAATTAATGAAAAATCCATTGCAGTTGTGATGAGTAATTGTCACTGAATACCAATAATAATATTTATCAAAAATATCTTTGTTTTTAAGATCAGAGTCAAGGATGTCCCAACAGCTTACTGCTATTCGTTTACTGATCCACATATAATTACCTTTGATGGCAGGTAATTTCCTAAAAGTCTTTTCTTTTAATGGTTGTTGTTTGTTTTGGTTTCACTGTTGTTTTGTTTTAACCAGCATTCTGTTCAATCATTTCTTAGTCCTGTTCACTGGAAAATTAGAAAAGAAAGTCATGTTTTGCCATCACTGATTTGTTTGAACATACTAATTTATTTGTGTATAATTTTTTTAAGTCTATTGTGTATGTATATATGGTTATAGTTGTTAGCCTTAATTTGTAGAAATGAAGTTTATGAAAAATGCAAGTTATCATTTTGTTTGCCATGTATTTGTTTTTAATAATTTCATTATTTGCATCAGAGATGTTTACTGTGATATTTATTGTGATATACTGTTTTGAATTTATATATAATGAAATAATCTTTAAGTTTTAGGAAAATAACTAACACACTAGAATTTTTAAAGAACAAATCAGCTTTAATTTATAATGAGAATACTCATGGAAAAAACAATTACAACTTCATAAAAGCCTGAATATTTAACTCTAGAATTTAAGTAAATTGAGCAAGATGACCAAAAACAAATAATCTAAGTCACACTGCTATTAATATCTGCATAGCAAAATTTAAACTCAGTGATACTATTCTGAGGGATATCATATCCTTAAGGAAAATAATACTGTATTGTTGATTCAAAATTCTCATCCTGATGCTTGGTAATTTTTTCTTTTAATTTTTAAAAATTGTAATGTGATCATTTCCAGTAAAGTCATTCAATATGAAAAATAGACGTAGAATCCTTCAGTAAAAATGATACTCCACAGATCTGAGCAAGAATTGAGAAATTGTTGGAACTTATCTCTCATGCAAGAATTTCTTCTATGGTTATAATTGAAATCTTAGAATTTTGGTGGGAAAAAAATCAAGAAATGGTGATGTATTTAATCTGACTTAATTCAACAAGATTAATTGTGCAGCAGCTTGGTGACAAGCCATGTTCTAAGTGTTGGGGGATGTGACAGTGAACAAGAGATTATCATTCCCTCATAGAGCCAACCTCTGAACAGAGGAAAAGAGATATTAACGCAATCAGGAAATAAAGTATGTCGTGTGTCTGAGGAAGAGACATGCCATGAAGAAAACTAAATCAGGTGGAAAGGGAAGGCTGGAAGTAGGGTTAGTAATTTATATTAAAATAGACTGGTTATGGAAAGCCATTTTGATGGTAATGTGAACAAATACTTGAAGACCAGAGAGACAGCAAGTGCATGCCACTAGGAAGGCCTCCCTCCTCTAGGAGCAAAGCCTCTCTGGGGTGATGAAAGGGAAGAAAAGAGTAGTGAGAGAGATACAGGTGTTTCATTCAGTGCATACAAACAAATGCTCATGACCCAAAAAGGTGCTGAAAATCTTGATTTCTCATTCTAACATCAAAATATGGAAAGCCTGTAAATAAATGTAATACATAGTTAGTTTATAACATACTATTGTGATGTTTTATAACCAACTCTTAATGCAGTTCACTTTTGTTAATGATAGGGTATATGATAATTTCAAGACTGGAACATTTGTACTTTACAAGAGTACAACACGTGATTTTGAAGTCCATGTGCGTCAATGGGACTGCGGAAGCCTTCACTACCCTGCGTCATGTAACTGTGGGTTTGTGGCCAAAGAAGGAGGAGATGTCGTTACTTTCGATATGTGCAGTGGTCAGCTACATGAATTACGACCATATTTATTTGTAAAGAGCCAAGATGCATCCAGCAATATCAAGATAAGTGAATCTTATTTAGGACGAAAAGTCACAGTATGTATGATTTTGTGGTATTAAAAATAGTTTCCCTTTTTCTCATTTTGAATAAACTATACATCTCTGTTAAATTAGGAGCTATCATATTTTTATTTTTATTTTATTTTTTAGTTGTAGATGGACACAATGTCTTTGTTTTATTTATTTATTTATTTTTGTATGTGGTGCTGAGGATTGAACCCAGTGCCTCATGCATGTGAGGTGAGTACTCGGCCACTGAGCTATAACCCCAGCCCAGGAGCTATAATTTTTAAATATTGGTTTGCTATCAAGAAGATATGCTATCAAGAAGATAGCATTTGGATTAACTATGATCTCAAAATGAATGTTTTTGCACCTACCACACACAAGTAAAGATGATTAGAAACACTGTCAAACTTAAATTGATTTATTTAACATTTCAGTATCACAATTTTGTGCATTATTCATAAAAACTATTTTTACAGTATCCATTAAATGGCATATTAGATGACAGACATAATTAAAAATAAATATTTAGTAGTTAACCAACTTTTCAAGTGAATTGAACATGTTACTGCTTTAGGGATGGGCTAGTAGATAAGTGGAAAAGAATAGAAATCAGGAAACATTCTCAATATTATATATATTCACCAACACTTTTTAAATATAATATTTCATGTCTGTGAGCTAACAATTTGTATCTTAAGGTCGTGTTCATTTTCCTTTCATATTTCAATAAAATAAATTCCAGGTAAGTATAATTCAAATTTAAATAAAAGTGTTTGTAAATATGTTCTTATGATATTTATTGAAGAGAACAATAACTTTTAAGATAACATTATATATTTTTATTCCATCATCAAAAACCAAAATGCCAATAAAGAATTTGGGAAAATATTTGCTATATACAATCAGTTATATAAAAAATATATCTCTAAGGTATACTCACCATTTTATTGAGCAAATATTACAAAATGATAATTCAAAAAGAACATTAACATGTCCAAAAGTACAAGTAACCAATGGAGATATAACAATGTTAAGAACATTAGTCATCAAATAAAAAAAAATGCTGATCAAACATCTCTCAAAAAATACTGTCAAGAGTAGTGATGGTAGAAACAGTCTTTCTGGAGGGCATATATATTAATACAATCTGAACTTCTCTATATTCAGAGACTATTTTACAAATATTTTGCTTCTGGAAATTGATTGCAATCTCTTTTGCTAAGAGGGAAACCTTGCAATTAATCAGTAATCAATGAGAGGGTTCAGGAATATGTATTCTGTGGCATTCAGTATTGGCACTCTGGCATCACTGCTGGAAACCCAACTCCTGCAGCTGGCGGGTATATGGAAAGAAGCACTGAACCTAAGCAGGGTGCAGCAGCAGAAGCAGAGGGAGGCCACTTTGTTGAAGGAGCTCTAGACCTCATGGATGATGTGAAGCATGAGGGTGACCAGAACCACAGTTTTTTGGTGTGAACTAGGAAGGCAGTGGGAACCATGATGGTCATGTGAACCATGAGGGCAAAGGTGGCAACTGGGAGCCCGGGTGGCAGCAGTTGGAGGAGCTGGTGGTTCCACAGCCCCTGTGCATGGAACCACAAATCCAGCTTGTCACTTTACATTGTGGCAGCTGCAGGGACTGGAAAGCTGTCTCCAAGAGACTCCATATCTGATGTCTCACAAGCTGTATTTGCTATTGTGCAAAAGTTTGCTCCTGATTCTATCAAAACCATTTGTCTCCCTGGAAATATTTGGACCTGACAGGTTTTGAATACAGTTCCACAAATCTTCCTGTGCTTCCAAGCCTCCAGTAAGCTTCTCCAGTAAGACATCTTGCATCTTTCTATGCTAATAACTCATGTATGAGCAGATGTATGAGCAGGAGCACAGGGAGCCGCAGCTGCAGCTGCAGGCAGGGGATAACCTGCAGCAGAGAGTGCCTGCTAGCTAGTGACTATTAACATCATCCCTCTGCCACTCAGGTGCCCATGCAAGTCCTTAATCTCTGAGTTCCTGTCTAGTGGACTTCCAATGAATCCAAAGGATTCCTCTCACACAGGACACATTTCATGGTGACTAAGTCCCTTGGCTTTTGATTTAAATGGTATGGTGGTTTGAGTGTATGTATCCTTCCAAAATTCCTGTTGAAATTTGGACTTCATTGCAACAGTACTGAGAGGACCAGGAAGCTCCAACCTCATGGATGGGATGTGTACCTTTAGATAAGAAGACTTGTCTGTATGCACAAAACCCTAGCACTAAATCCACACAGAAGTCTATTTATTAAGCATGATGTGCTGGTGTACATCTGCAGTCTTAGCTACTCAGGATACTGAAACAGGAGGATCACATGTTTAAGGCAATTTAACTTATCCCTGTCTCAAAGTAAAAGGGGCTGGGGATACATCTCAGTGGTAAAGCACTTCCCTATCATGTGAGAGGCTCTAGGTTCAATCACCAGTGCCACAACAACAAAGGCTTGGAATAGTCAACCTTCTATCCCTTCTACCATGTGAAGACACAGCAAAAAAAAAGAACATCTTCAAAGGAGAAAGTCAGCTCTCTCCACACATTGAATCTCCTGGCACCTTGACCTTGAGTTTTCCAGCCTCCAGAAATTCAATAAATCAATTTCTGTTGTTAATAAATTACTCAGCTTAAAGTATTTTGTTATAGCAGCATTAAGGGACCTAGGCATCTTGGAACACCTTATTTCTTCTTCTGTGGGAAGGATACGTATGCTGGCCATAGGACTCTTGGTTGTCCTTTATCACTTGAGAATATATCAACCCACTACCTCTGAGTTCCTGGATTTCTAATGAGAAGTCTCATAAGGACCTCACAGGGAAATTATGATGAAATCCCCCTACCTCTGAGCCCCATAAGTTTAATGATGTCCCTGTGGTATCTTAGGGAACAGAGCATTCTGTCATAGTACCACAACCCAAGTAAAGTGCTGCCGTCCTTTTAATATCAGTCATTCAGAGTTGAAAGAGGAATTGAATACATTAATTGTGAATATGAAAAGGTGCTGAATAACCAAAAATTATTACAAATTTTTAGATTCTAACTGAAAAAGCTATTGAACCCCCCTACATATTTTAATTTCTAAACAAGAAAATATCATTCTCCATAACCTGCTGTTATGCTGTGGATATAAGGTATGGTATCCCCCAAAAGCTTATGCGTAAGAAAATGCAGAAATATTCAGAGGTTAAATGATTAGATTATCAGAACTGTTACCTAATTCGTGGATTAATCCATTTGATAGATTAATTATTTGAAAGGACTACTGTACTTGATAGCTATAGGCAGATAGGGTGTGGCTGGAGGAAGTGTAGGTCACTGGGAGCTTCCTTTGGGGTTTAGTATTTTTGTCCTTGGCACCTTGCTCTCTCTGCTTCCCAGCTGCCATGCCCTGAGCAGCCCCATGGTGGGACTGCAGCCTGTACCAAAGACAACATTCAGGACAGACCAAAAGCAGGTGACTAGGTGGATTTCTGCTTGTAGCCTATGAATATGCTGTTGCATGCCATGTTGCTATTGGCTGTCCCAAAAAACACACCCTGAATTCAGGAACAAAGTGGCTCCAATGAAAGTGGACAGTTGAGTCAGACAAAAACCAAAAGGGACAGATCCCACAGGATCTCACTTACGTGGAACAGCTGCAGGAGGGAGATGTGCAGACTGTTTCAGGCTTGTCCATACCAATTCCAGTCACAGGGGCATCTGGAGAAGGAGTGGACCCCTCTGCCTCCACCTGTCCCCCCTCTCCTGTTCTTTTCTGTTCTTTCTCCCATGTTGCTGCAGAAGTAGGAATGATTCTTAATAAATTTGTTTCTTACAAATCTTAAACTAAAATTAATGCTCCTAGAGAAAAAAAAAAGTGTTTAACTAAAACTCTACAATGATGTACACAATAAAACACATTGTAGTCATGAAAATGCTAGAGTAGGCTATGCTTACAGACAGGCAAAGACATTCATGAAATATAGAAAAGACTTTTGAAGAATTTGCACCAAGATCTTAGCATTAGCCATTAACATCTTCCCTCTGCCACTTGGGTAGAAATATAAATTTTGTTTGTGTTTGAAATCATTTTGTGTAATGAACGCATACTAGTTTTGTAAAAAGAAAAGCTCATTTTAGATTAAAAAAAAACTAAAAGGGGAACAAGGATCAGAGAAGTAAACACTGATGTTATACCTTTGTTGACTCTTAGAAGAGATAGTTTTTCCTCATGTACATCCAAGTGACTGGTCTGGGACAGGTGCTATTCCTGTAACAGAGAGAGGTACTCACAGTTAGATGACACAGGCTGTTAGTCATTCAATAAATACCTCTTGTTCTGATTGCCAACCCCCCAGGCAACCTTTGGTTTTAATGTGGTTTCTATTTGCCAGCTTGTGGCAAGAGAATGCTAATTGGCCACAGGAATATCCACTCCTTCCGAATTATATTAATCTGTGTAAATTAATTATTTGTGAGTCTAATTCCATATTAAATAACTATTATCAGAAGCATAACTTGGTTGGTCAAAGTCATAGCTCAGTGGTAGAACAGTCGCAAGTCCCTGGTTTCAATCCCCAGCACCAAAAAAAAAAAAGGAAAAATATATAAGTAAATAAACATTACCATTACTTGGTAAATGTTGTGTTTAAGATTTATAACTGTTTTCATTATATATCATATTTTGGTTTAAATTGTTTAAGGAAAGAAGTCACAAATAATATATATCAATAAAAATCAGTAAGTGTTCAAATTCTAAATCAGAAAAAAATGCAAAAATTTATTATTTTAAAATAAAGCAATAAAAAAGAAGTTGTCCCCTGGGGAAAAAAATCAAAAAGGCCAACCTTGAACAGTTTACTTATTTTTTCCCTGAGGACCACACTGAGGATATCCACCAGGAGTTTGTCCCCTAGTATTTTATTCTGTTTATATGGGAGAAGTGCCTGAGTTTGCTTCTTATTTCTTAAATAACACTTTTTTCTTAATCTGTATTGAATATGGCTTTCACATCTTATGTTTATGTGTTGGTTTCAGATTTCATTTTCTTCTGGAGCATTTATTCGTGCTGACTTGAGTGAATGGGGCATGAGTTTAACCATTAGGGCATCCAGTTCAGATTACAAAAACACTTTAGGACTCTGTGGAACCTTTGATGAGAACCCAGAAAATGATTTCCATGATAAAAATGGGATAAAAATTGACCAACATTTTAATAATTGTGCTGCTTTTATTAATGAATGGAGGTAAGAAACTAATTTTCATTTGTGATTGTATTAATATTAGACTTAAATGTGAAGAGTCTCTCGCTTTGACAACACATTCCTGGGGAAAATGTTCTGGTTCAAATAACTTTCGTTTTATGTTTTTAATCTGGAAGGATTTTACCAGGGAGAAGCATGTTTGACAAGATGCCAATTTCTCAGACTTTGCCTGCAAAACTATCCTATTGTAGCTGCTCAATGGATACCGCCTCCAGGTACCCGTTTTCTAATCATCTGGATGGTGTTCCTCAACCAGAAATTGCTTCAGGTTGCAAAGACCTCAAACATGTCAGATTCTCTTCTTTGATACCAGAACTAGATGTCACCTCTGAATATATTAATTCAGAAGCTCTGGTTGGGATGATAAACAAGCATACATCTAGAGAAGAAAATAATTTGAATTTCTTACTGCAAGGAAAGAAGTACATAGACCTCACAAAACGGGACGTACATTTACAATATCCTGGGAATGAAAAACAAGATGCACCAAAATATTCAGACAAGGAGAAACATAAGCAGGACCAGGGTCGCCACAGACAACAAATGAGGTGGAATCCACAAAACAGATGGAAACGGCAACATTTCAATGAGTTTCCTCCTTTGTTTGCTTTCCAAAGTCTCAGCCAGACCAACCTGGAACAGTTTACTTATTTTTTCCCTGAGGACCACACTGAGGATATCCACCAAGAGTTTGTCCCCCAGTGGCCCACACCCTCTGGCCTTACCCAGGACAGCAGCCTGAAACTCTGTCAGCACACTCTAGCCAATTCCAGCATAGGCAGGCTCTGTTTTGACTTTCTTGGTAAAAGACTAGACCATGTTGTAGATATGTGTGTTAAGGACATTCTGTTGAAAGATGATGTTAGCTGGGCAGAAGCAGGTGTGGCCCTTCTAGAAAATGAATGTGAAAAGAGGATTTTGGAAGAGGGGAAATATAACACAAAAGAATATGGCAAGTCAACTGAAGACATTCTCTTGGTATTAAAATGTCCCAATTTATGCAGTGGCAATGGGCAGTGTATGGATTGGGGGTGTGCATGTCTCCCAGGCTTCAGCTCCTATGACTGCAGTGATTGGTATGGTAAGTAAACACTCTTAAACTTTAATGTTGTGCAGGAAATTTGATTATGAAAATATATTTGTTCTTTTTTGACTTAATTATCTTAGGGCTTGTGAAGATCCTATAGTGATAAAAGACACATAATTTCCCCAAAGTGTTTCATCTCATTCAGAGAAAAGTTGAAGTTGTTGTAATTACCTATAAGGCACACAGAGTTCTTCCAGACTCATCTCCTGCAACTGTCACCTTCTCATCATCCCACTACAGCTACTTTAGTCTCTGCTGTTTTTGAAATGCCAGGTTTACCCTGTCTCCTGGCCTTTGCTTGCAACTAACTGGTCCTTCTACCTGTAGAGAATAATTGTTTTCCTAGGACTCAAATTTAACATGTTTTAAGGACTGTGTTTGTATTATCTTGCTAATCATGCTCCTTTGTTATATAGTGTAAACTGTTCTGTCTCAAAATGTTAGAGAAAGAAAAAATTTAAATGTTGACTTGGTTCATTTAACCAGTAAACCAGTAATTCTTGATTTCCCTCCCACAACCACCATCCTTCCCTTTTCCATTTACAGTCTCTTCTATCTCAGTAAATGCAAAAACTTCCCTCTGATGGCCCAAGTTAAAAACTTGCAGGTATTGACTTTTCTGTTTCTCCCATGCCTCAAGTTTAACTCCATAGCAGCAAGTCCAGTTCTAGCTTCAAAGCATTTCATTTCTTTCCTTGCTACAGCCTTGGTCCAAATCACCACTGTCTCTCACCTGGATCATCATAGATTCTCTCAAAGCTTATTTTCTATGCAGCAGAAGCCAAAGTGACCCCTTTGAAATGTAAGTCAGGTCACATTGCTTCTCTGCTTAAATCCTTCAAATGGCTTGCCCTATTTTTCAGAATAAAATCCACAACTCTTTACATGGACCTCAGATAATCTGAGGCTCCCCCTCACTCTCAGTTCATTAACCGCTCTTCCCCAAGTTCACTGCTCTTCCGCCACATTGGCTGCTTTGCTGTTCTTACAGGTCTGCTCCTACCTCAGGGCCTTTGTACTTACTGCTCTCTTATTGGAGCATTCTTTCACCACACAGCTTCAGGACTAACCTTTTTAATTTCTCTGTTCAAGTGTCACATTATCAGAAAATCCATCCATGGTCATTCAGAATAAATATTTTTCACAAAACCTCATAATCAAATCTTAAAACATTAATGACAGCACCAGTAGCAAGTATAATGACATTATTGACATTGTTGTAGGTTTAATGGTAGGTTAACATCACATTTAATACCAGAATGCTCTTAACATTTAATGGTTTAATTAATGTAAATAGTATTTGGGGTGTACTTTGAAGTATTATTTTACACATGCTTTTCATTTGGGCTTTGAGGTATAATTATGTAGCTTTTTTCCCGGAATTATAAAAACATGTTCTATTTGTTATAATTGTTCTCCAAAGACAAAGTTCCTGAAATCACAGAGCTTGAGAATGCTGGATTCTGTGATGTTCAAAAGCATAATTGTACGATGGTGAGAGTTTTTGGTCAAGGCTTCAAAGAATCACCTTCCATTAACTGTGAAGTTACTAAACTGCAGGTATGTTAATTACAGACTTTCTGAGAAATTATGGAAAATAATTTATAAGTTATTCAAGTTAATTCTGTATTGAATTAATTAATTCAATCAGCCACATAATCCCAAAGGGTGTAAGGTCCACAGGGAGTGAAGGAAGATGATTTAAGTTGCTTAACCTTGAAAACTTCCACATTTGTAAGCTTTTTTGAAGTGTTTTATATTATTTTTACTGAGGTATTGGCCACTGTTTTCATTCATAATAAAAAAAAGTAAAAGACGATCAAGCTTGAAATACTGAGGCATCTTTATTTTTTAAATTGCAAAACCACAAATAGTGGAGATGGATTTTAGCCAAGACATCCTGCATGAACTGTAAAATCCAGGGATGTGAATGTTTCCCTTCTACAAAACAAAAAACAAGGGCTAATTGTGCTCATCCTTTGTATTCCTTTACTATGGATTTCAGATTGGAAAGTACCACCCTCCACCACATTAGTGTGTTTCTTCCTTGAAATTAGCATTTTTCTTTCTTACATTACATGAATCTCAGTTTGAACATTAGCATAGCAAATTATAGCTTATTTTTTATGATTGTTTATATGACCTTCCTTTTCTTTATTCAAGTAGAAATTTTATTTTAGGGACAGCTCTTTGAATTTAGAAAGGTTTTATGTGGATAAGCTGAAAGTTAAAGTAGTAAAATAGTAAATAGTACTTTAACATTGTTCTTTCTTTTTCTCTAAATTGATAAATCCAGATGTGGTTCTGAGATTGAGACTTTACTGGAGGAAATAATCTTTGCATGTGTTTTGTCATAGGGTTCTGCATAACAAATATGCTTCTTTCATGATATTATGGATAGAGTCTTTCTAAATAAGTTGCAAATTATTCTAATTCCAATGAAGTAGCAAAACACACAATAGACAGATGTATGCGTAATTTCAACATCACCCAAGAGAGTCCATATGCTTTTGGTCTTGACAGAGTAAATTATATGACATCACAATGCAATTAAATGATTTACCAGAAGAGAATTTTATAGATTTCTATTCTCTTGGAAGGTAAATTTAGTACTTATTTTCAGCCACTTACTGGTTGTGATTTACTCTCACACTGCTTCCCCCTTCCAAAATCATGGAATTTTTAACAAACTTTGCAGAACTATAGAAATAAATGAATGTGCTTAATTACTAAAACCAAGATGAGAATGTGCATCAAGTATTTATATGTATTATTACAGCTGTCTTCCCTGGCCCTGGTCTTGCCCAATGCTGGGTTCTGGCTTTTGCACCATTTGTTTCACTCCTTGAGTCAAGTCTAATTGGCACTGCTTTAAGACTCCCCACCTCACCGCTTGGGACTTGCAGGAGGCCTGTGCTTGGTTTGTTTGGAATGTACTTGTTTTTCCACTAGCTTCCTTGTTCCTGGTCAGTGAACATGAATGGATTTCTGCTCACTTTTTTAGTTGGAATTCCAGTTCCCTTTGAAGATGGGTTTCTTTTAAAAATCTAGCTTTCTAAAACTAATATCACAAGAAACCCTTTATTTCTTTCCATTTTATCAAGTGCTTTTTTAAAAACATGTATTTTGGAATAACTTGAACCTTTCAGAGAAGCTGCAAAAATAATACAGAGGAGTTCCCAATAATTTTTCACCCTGTTTCTTCTGGTATCTTCATTTTACACATCCATAAAACTGTTATGGAAACCAAAAAATTCAACTTGGTACAATAAAATAAAATAATTTACAGGCTTTATTCAAATTTTGCCAGGCATCCAATTTGATTCTGCAACCAATCCAAGATTTCATATTGCATTTTGTTGTCATGTCTCTTCAATCTTCTTCAAATTGTGACAGTATATAGTTTGTCTTTCATGAATGTGGCACTTTTGAAGAGTGCTTGCCAGTTATTTTGTACAATGTTTCTTTCTTAAGATAGAGGTTACGCCATTCTTCCTTCATCTTTTCATGATGAGTGTTTGTAATTACTGTTGATATAAATTTTAATTACATATTTAAGGTGGCATTTCCATTAATCTCCACTGCAGATTTCCTGTATTTCCTTTTGTAATTAATATGCTATAAGAAGACACTTATAGACAATGCTAATATGATTTCTTCTTATATTTTGTCTCCCTGATTTTAGCATTCAACTATAATTTTTGCTTGCAACAGTCATTACTGTGGTAATTACCAATGGCAATTTCTATTTCCATCATTTCTTCTACATATATTTACTATCTGAAATTGTACTGAAAGGGAAAGCTGTTCCTTGTTTCATATTTGTTCATTCATTTATTCGTATCAGATGGACTAAGATACTTATTTTATGAAGAATACTTATTTTATCTTATTTGATGCTATTATTATTTATTTTGCTTGCTACTTAAATTATCCCAGATTTGAACATTAGGAGCTCTTTGAAGTAGATTCTCATGTCCCTTTACTATGCACTCATAATTTATTGTATAATTTCTCACATTCTCATCACACAATACTGCAGACTCATCTTGCATTTTCTCTACTCCAACCATAGAATCAACCATTTCTCAAAAGAACTCTGTTCTATTTATTAAATAATATTACTTAAAAACCATGATTTGATGATTTGGGTGCAAAGTGTGCTCATCATCTCAGACTAGTTATTGATTCCTGTCCCTCTCAATGGATGAAGCTGGGAAATACATGTATATCTTCTCACACATACATCCCTATCCCTATCCCTATCCCTATCTATCTATCTCTCATCTTCATGAACTGATACTGATACCTCTAATTGCAATGTATAAGGTTCATTTCAGCCTTCTCTTGTCCTTTTACTCCTTCTTCACAAGTAAAAACTAGTTTTTGTTATTTGTATAGCATATTTTATCAATTTTAATATATGCAAATCAATTTTAGAAATTTTAAACCATGCCTCTGTGAAAGTGAAATTTGCAAAATGAGATCACAATTTACATGCAACTATTGTTTACCTAGTAACTTGTGTTGGCTGTTTTCTTTCCCTCTCTTTTCAGAGTGGTTATGTGTTTCTTTTGCAACAAAACTGTGGTTTATTTTAGGTATAAATTATTTAGGGGTGTGTGAAATGTGGTTCTGAGAACTGGCTCTATACAAAAGGTACACACAGAGAACTGTCACTTTCTTCTCATCCCTAGTACCAGCTTGCTATTACCCTTTATTTCCTTCCTGTTTTCTTGCATGGCCTGAAATATTTACATCCACAGCCATTATTTCCTGGTTTACCATTAATGTGTTTTATTGACATAAAGGAACAGACAACATACCTCCTTTTTTTTCATACACAAAGGGTAGTATATTATAAATGCCATTTTTAAATTTTTAGTAGTAATTTTTTAAAAATTTCTTTGTTTATTCTAATTTTTTATATTTGACAGCAGAATGCATTTCAATTCATAGTATACATATAGAGCACAACTTTTTATTTCTCTGGTTGTACACAAAATAGAATCACACCATTCGTGTCTTCATACATGTACTTAGATTTATGATGTTCATCTCATTCCACCAACATTCTTACCCCTTACCCCCTCTCTTCCCCTCCCTCCCCTTTGCCCTATTCAAAGTTCCTCCATTCCTCCCATGCTCCCTTCCCACATTATAGATCAGCATCCACATATCAGATAAAACATTTGGTCTCTGGTTTGGGGGGGATTGGCTTACTTCATTTAACATGATATTCTCCAACTCCATCCATTTACCTGTGTATGTCATGATTTTATTCTCTTTTAATGCTGAGAAATATTCCAATGTGTATATATACCCAGTAGTAATTTTTAACAAATGCTTAGCTAGAAATCCAGCTACCCAATCATATCCTTTACTCTTTCTCCTAAAAGCAGAATCCAGTTTTTAAATTGCTGACTTGTAGGATTAAATCCAAGTTGTTATCCTATAAACATGTGGGCCTTTAGGAGGCAGTTCTTGCCTGTTTTAGCAGGCTTGGCCTTCCTCTTCATGCTCTATTCCAGTTCCATGCAGCCATGAATTTTCACACAATGTTTTCTCCAGCCATCTTAAATCATACTCTATTTCTGCTTCCAGCATCCACATGTCAGTCTCCTTTTTACTTCAGGAAGAGAAATATAATCCCCCACACTTTGTTTTAAACCTTGCTCGATAGATTTAGATTTAATGGCTTATTTCTTATTATACCTTATTTGAATCTCAGTTATAGTGATAATAAAATTATCTATGTCTTTTCCTTTGATCTATTCATCAGAATATCCTCAGCACATAATAGATAATCAGAAACTATTGATGAGTGGAAAAGAAGTAGAACCCTATTTATTCCTTACTTGGTGTAGACCTTTCCTCAGAGGGATGGAAATTATCCCTAAATCCCCAGTCATTGGCTGGAATCTATTTCCACACAAGAAACCAAGGGACCCTATATCCTCTAAGAGTAGGTATCATGACAACTTAGATATTCTTATTATCCTTCTGCTAGAGGAAAATTACTGGCAGAAAATCTATACACATCCATAAATATGCACTTTTGTACTATGGGTCACTCTGTCAGCCATACGTCTTCAAAACAGTTTCTGGGAGCCATAGACAAGAGTGTTCTTGTCTTCCTTTTCTTTTCCTGCAAATCCACAATAGTGAAGCAGCGGCATATTGCATGGCTGATTCAGAATGGTTGGAAGCATTCTACAATAAGAATTCTTTTACAAAAATATACATCTTGGCAACAAAATATGTCATTCTAGTTTTCTGTGTAGTTAGCAGTACTCAGAAAATTATTCTTGCTTTTCCTCCCTAGACAGCAATGCATTTTCAATGATGCAAATGAATACTTAAAGTGTAGTTTAAGCATGAGATAATCTATTAAATGGGATGAACTGGCTAAAATTTTACTTTCAAATTACATTAGCAAGCTTTAACAAAATAATACTTATTATGAAGATGGTACTTTTTTTTACAGAATTAAGGAAAAGGATGTAGATGAATTATCAGAAAAAAAACTTGAAGTTGGGACTTAGACAACATGAAGACTTAGCATGTGCACATTTGGATATGTGTGTAGCTGTTTGTCTCAGTTCTCCTATTCTTTGATTCCCTCTCCACCCCATTTTATTATATACTGGATTTCTCCACATACAGAAAAACATGACCATCAACAGGTCTTGAATCTCAAGTCATCAGAGACAGGAGGCAGAAAGGGCAGTTTCAAATAGATGGAGAAGGTGGGTACTTTTGCAGAGGAAATGAGGGTGTTTCTGGAAAGGAAAACCATCTGTTGCCTCAAGTTCAATGTCAAATGATAATTTTTCTTGCTGCAAAAGTTATTGCAGAGTGATCCGTAACGTGTGGCCAATATTGGTAAATCCTTTGATTTGAACTACCAGAAAATTCATGATTTCCTAGGAACACTTTACATCAAAATAAGATGCATACTTTCTTATCATTCTTAATAAAACTCACTCCCAATGTGACTTTTTTTCCTTACTATACATTCCATTATATTAGGATTATATTTTAAAAATTTGTATTTTGATCATATGAAATTCAGTACTGAAATATTTTCATAATTGTAACAGAAGTTAATTGCTTTCCCATTTTGCCTTCAGTATAATAGTAGTAAATGGGTGCTTGGAGAACCTGTCTATACACTGGCAGTTTTTCAGAACAGCAGAACTGTTGATTGTCAGCTGCCCAGTGATGTCCAGCAGTCTGATACCATGGATGTGATGGATCAGAAACCAATTATGAAGTGGCAATTAAAGGTAAAAAAAAAAAATTAAAGGTAAAAGATAACTATAAATTAAACCTCATGTTTATAAGCCAAGCAAATTCTTATATACAGATTTTCATAATTTATGAGGCTGCATTTAGAACAAGTTATCTTATTATAGAACTACATCTTACAGGTATCTAATGATGGTTATAAATTCAGTAATTCCAAAACAATGATCATATATGATGGTGCTTGTCAAGTTTGTGGTCTCTACAAAAATAACTCATGTACTATAAAGGTATGTATCTTTTCACTTATTTTCACATTTACATCATAGGTATTTTAATTTCCCATGCCATTGGCATATCAGCTGTGTTTTCTTTTCACCTTAATAACAGAAAGACTAATAGGGAAAATCTTCTTCAAATGCACCTAACATTAATTGAAATGTTTACTCTTCCTATAACTCTTGTTGAAATGGTGAAAAAAGATGTTTCTTCCTTAACATTTTGGAGTGCAGATTGCTTATTCCTAAAAAAATCAAAAGAGGAGGTTTGCACTTAATTATTTCCTCCTTTCTACATTCGCTGTTTTCTCAGTTTCCAAAAGATATCTCTTTATGGTCCAGTACAGGGGCTTATGCCTCTAATTCTAGAAACTCAGGAGGCTGAAGCAGGAGGATTATAAATTCCAGACTTACACTCTGTCTGAAAATGAAATATAAAAGTGGTGGGGATGTAGTTCAGTGGCAGAATGCCCCTAGGTTCAATCCTCAGTATTAAAAAAAAAGAAAAAGAAAGAAAAGGAAAGGAAAGAAAGATATTTCTTTGTGGTTTGTGATTACCTAATCCTCTTTGTGGCAAATGTTATACATTTGAGTATAGTTTGCAAAGTGTATAAAATTAGCACTTTTATAGAGAGTTTTCTGGCAACTAAATTCTTTGGACTATGCAAAAAGCCTACCACTTGATGAATTATAGAATAATAGCAAACCTAAACCTGGTTGTTATAGCCTCACCCTCTGAACCTATCCATATCAAGACTTCTGAGTTTATCAACAGGGCTTTCTCCCATGTGCCTTGCTTAAACCTTTAACTAATATCAATTGACTTTTCAAAACCAAGGAACATATCAAGTATGTGGTGCACACCTGTGAACCCAGCTATTCAAGAGTGAAGGCAGGAGAATCACAAGTTGGAGTTCAGCTGGAGCAACTTAGAAAGACCTGTCTCAAAATTAAAAAATAAAAGATCTGGGGATGTAGTTCAGTGGTAGAGAGCCCTGGGGTTCAATCCATGGTATTACAGAAAATAAATATTTAAAAAGTATATTTTTCTAAATTTAAATTCCTTTTCCTTGAGATTGATCACATTATTTCAATAACAAGTTTTTATTGTTGTTGAGAAATTATTGGATTTTTATTTTTCATCAAATATTTCATTTCCACATGTTCTTAAGTACTTTAAAAAACATTGTTATTCAAAGTTGTCTTATCCTCTTAGAACTATTCTAATTTTCAAAATTATATCAAAGGAAATTTTTTAAATGAACAAAGTTTATATCTCCTGAAAAAATTTGTCTATTTCCCAAGTTAAAAAATTATTGCTATATTTATTGTCCTTTCTCTGTATTACAGCATTTTTTCAACTATTTTTTTAATGATACCCATTATGAAGTGTGAATAATGATGCTTTGGATGTATGGTCTAGTATAATGGGCTGCTGGGGAAGAGGAAGATATCTATAAATTAATGTGATTTTAAAGATGTGCAAAAATGAAAAGTAGTCAAATAAATAAATTTCTTTTCTTTCTTTTTCTAGATAGAGTCTTACTGTTACATAGACCTTGATCTTGATCCCCCTGCCTCACGTCCCAACTAACTAAAATAACAGGTGTGCACCACTACACCCACCTCTGATTTCTTCATTAATAAAGCACTTCCAGCATGAATTTTAGCAGTAAAAATGACAAAAAGAAAAGAGAGGTTTTCCCCATGTTATTTATAAGGCATAATTTTGCACAGAGATACAACTTACATGCATTTTATTATTCCTACAAGTTGATCAGTTTCTTAGGCATTTAAGCAGACAGGAAACAATTTGTCTTATGACCTGGCTTTGTGATCATGAGGTGTGAAAAAATGTTATCTGATCAAAATGGAGTTGTTATTATATGCTTTTATTGGAATCATAAATATATATGCTGCTATCAGTTTATGTACAGGTTTTTTATACACTAACTACAACTTTTGTTTGTTAATGTTTTCCTTTTTAAAAAATTTTTACTAGGAGAATGTTTGCATTATCCGTGGACTCTGCTACACTGAAGGGGATAGAAATCCTACCAGTCCTTGTTTGATCTGTAGATCCCAAATCTCAAAATTTACCTGGTCATTTTTAGAAAGTAAGTTATTCTTATTTATCCAAACATCCCTAAACTAGATTCTTTTAAACTACAAGTTACATAAATGTGTTTAAGGTTAATAAACACTGTATTTCATTTAGCATCTTTCACTGTATTTCATTTAGCATCTTTCTTAATGCTTACAAGAACCTATAAATTGAGAGGATATTTTTATATACAGTCCTGCACCAGATAATGTCATTTTGGTCTACACAGTGTGCAAGTACAATGGTAGACCCAGAAGATGTGTCATCTAGTGATGTCATAGCTGACTTAGGTTTTGCTTTTTTTTTTTTTTTTTTTGGTAAGCATTCTTTGGATAACCCAATGTCAAAATTGCCTGACAGTGCATTTCTCAGAACTTATGCCTGTAATTAAGTGGCATGTGACTATAAATAATTTTTATAACAATGATACAAAATAGAATATGAGATACTTATTTTAATATTTGATAGGGAAAGCAATGTGAATTATTTTTAATATATATTTTAAACTGTAGATGAAAACAATACCTTTATTTTGTTTATTGATTTATTTTTTTAATGTGGTGCTGAGGATCAAACCCAGGACCTCACACATGCGAGGCAAAGCGCTCTACCACTGAGTCACAACCCCAGCCCCAGCAATGTGAATTATTAATTGAAGAAATGGAATTTGTTAGTTCAGTTACACACCATTTCTTATTCCTAGCCTTAATTCTGTTCAGTTTTCTGATAACTCATTTAAATATTGAAGTTCTAGAGGATATGCACCTATCACTTATTAAATAAGATATCTTGACTTAATTATCTATAAAGTGCCTTCCAACACTACTATTCTGTGATGTCATGAGTATAATATTGTATACAAATAATATTAGGATTTTTCATTTCATCCAAACAGCATTCCAAATTGTGTACCATATACCAGGTAACCTTTTCACTTTCCTAAACACAACTAGATATGATTCTACATGGGTGCCCAAGTTCTCTTTCCTCATAGGATGATCAGACATTATTAGTACAATGGGACATGATTATTCCCTGATGCAATATAATTTTATCTGAGTGATAAAACCTATACAGAACTTTATGATACTATTAAACTGTCATTATATGTGTAAATTTCATTACTATATTAGATCATTTGCCAGATGATTTACTGCTTAGGTGCAAGACTCATGAAATATTTTTGGAAGACAATGGAAATTTAAGGAAGAAATCAGTGCAAGAGACAAGGAAATGCAATATAACTTCTGAATTAGTGTCTCTTTTAGTGACTATGATATAATTGATTCAGTAGGAAGCCTTAGTGTTCAAAGATATAAGGGGTCATAACATATCTTGTTTCTAACCTCATCATATTGAGGTTGTGGAAATTAGAACAGATAAATTAAACTGTCTGTATAAGGATATACAGGGGCAGAACAGGAGCCAGAAATACAGTCTCTTGGCAACAGTGCACCAAGGTCACAAGCAGAGTATTTGTGACCAATATGATGAAGTGTGGCTTTTTATTCATTTATTAAGCCAGTGGGCAAGAAAGAAAGATAGTTTTTTAAACATAAGAAGATATAAAAATATAGTTTAAATTGTTTCATGAGCTTAAAGGAAACTCTCCCTATCTCCTGAAACAGCCACTTTACTAACTTGTGAACTCAGCCACTGGAAAGACCTCAGAGGAATAGGAAATTGGTATGATTGATGGCTGAATCAAATTCTAGGGAATCAAATGAGGAATGTAACTGGTATCTTAAAGGAAAAATAAGAGAAAGGGAGGTGCAGGGGTAGAAAGTGAGGCTGAAAGAGACAAGAGTTCAGAGGCAGGAGGAGAGAGAGAGGGAGCGGGAGAGCTTACAAGCACATGCAAGCAGTGAGATGATCAACACAGAAGTAATTTAAGATGGAAGAGGAGGTGCATCCTGACTGGGCAGTGCAAATTTGCTTGTGTCTTTTATGCTGTATCCAAAGTGTTTTTATACTCTAATAGCAAACTTGAGGTCTGCACCTGTCAGTTAATTTTATATTTTCTTAGAGTAGAATTGATTATTCAGAATGTTTAAAAAATGAAAGCAACTAAGAGAACTGGTAGCAGAATATTTAGGTGTCTTTTAATTTTCTTCATTCTTTTAAATGAATATTTTATCATTTTGAATTATGAATATAAATTTCTTTTTTACTGAGTTGTTGAAAGAATGCAAGTATTGATTGCACCCGGGATTTTTGCACAATCAGGGTTACTATTCTTAATGATAGGAATTTATTCATTCAAATAAATTGTTAATCATTGAAAGAGCACAACTTCATCTCCAATTGTTTTACTGAGGAAAGACTGACTTTTCTAACACATTGGAAACTTTTCACAAGTTTTCACAGACAATGCAAGAAGTGGATAAAAGAAGTTGTCATTAAGTGAAGGCGAAAACCATTCTAAACAACCATTTTCATTGTTTAAGAAAAAAGTCACTGAGTTTTAAAATGAACTACAAATGAATTCTCTAATATGATAACCTTTTACTTTAAATGTTAATGGACTTTTAAGTCATCTTATTTATAGGCAATTTTTTTTATGTACTTGAAGGGTCAAGTTGAATCATAAATGAAATCTAAGCAATGACCTTACATGTGATTATACAGTAAATTTCAAAAACAGCACAGTTTTGTCCTCACAATGCATGACTTCTCTGTGGGGACTGGGAGGTCTTAAATAAATAGTAGAAGAAACCAAAAAAAAAAAAAATGAGCCTGATAGACATATTTCAAAATAAATCACTTGAACTCTTTAATCTATATTCTGTTTAGGCAAAAACTGCCAGGAAGATGCTGATGAGTGTGCATCTGGGCCTTGCTTTCCAGGAGTAGAGTGCTTCAATACCTTTGGCTCCTATCATTGTGGTTCATGTCCAAAAGGATTTTATGGTGATGGGAAAACCTGTCATGGTAAAAGTTTATTTTCTGCTGTGATATGTTTTCTGCTGCATTTAATTAGCTCAAATCACTCACTTCCATTCTCTTTCTTACACACTCATCTGGTATATATGCATTAAGTGTTGTGCAATACACTAGATGCATGGGATGCAGAGATATATCAGACTTAAGGGGTTAGGATGCAATAGCACTAATCCTTTGGTACAATATAATATTCTGTGTCTTGTGATAGAAGAGGGACTAGCTGGAATCTTACACGATGTGTTGTGTTTACCTGGAGGAATAATGAAAAACTTTAAAAAGGAGATATCTAGACTATAGTAGATATACAACATCTGAATCTAATGTATGAGATCAAGGGGGTGAAAAGCATTGCAGGAAGAAGAAATAGCCCGAGCAAAAGCCCAGGACCATGTAACATCACAGCACACCCTGAGCCCTGAACAATTCAGTGTGCCTGGAGGACCACAGGCCCGAAGAGCTGCTGCAGGAGTTGAAGCTAGAGAGGTAGCCAGCATGTAGACCAGCAGCAGTCCCTTAAATTTTGAAATAAGAGAGAAACATGTTAAGACTTATATTTGAGAAAATTTACTCAAGTAATATAGACAATAGACCATCTGTGGGTAAAGAAATGTGAAAGCCTGAAGGTGGGAAGAAAAGCAAAGCCAAAATAGTATTTCAAATATGTAGGGGAGAGATGAAGATATTCTCTCTTAAGGTAAGATAATGAGAAATGAAGGAGATGCTAAAGAAGCAAGCTGATAGTACTTGGCTTGGTCAGCGACTGGATTAGCGTAGGAAAGAGTCATTTAGTTGCAGGTATTTGATTTAGGTGAATGGTATGTGGAATTGGCACTCACATTGCTGTGGACTGAACTACATTCCACTAAAATTCCAACATTGAAGTTCATAAGGTTACAGGAGGTGATAAGAGTAGAGTCCTAATCCAATAGGATTAATGTCTTACCAGGGGAAACACCAGAGAATTCTTTTTCTCTCTCTCTCTCTTTTTTTTTTTTTTTTTTTTGATTGAACTGGCGATTGGACCAGGGATCTTTCTGTCTCTGAGCTTCATCTCCAACCCTTTATATTTTTTTTTATTTTGAGGCAGGGCTCCCCAGTTGATCAAGCTGCCCTCTCACACTTAGCAATCCTCCTGTCTCAGCCTCCCAGATAGCTGGCCTTATTGCCTTGTACCACCATGCCCAGCTCACCAGATAACTTTCTCTGCCAGGTAAGGATATATTGAGAGCATATCTATCTCCAATACATGGAGAGGGTCCTCACATACACAGAACAGGCCAGCACTTTTATCCAGAGCTTTCCAGCCTCCAAAACAGTAAGGAACTGAATTTCTGTTGTTTAGGTCACCCAGTCTATGGTATTTTGTTATGGCAGGTTGATCTGATTAAATATACAGGAAGAAGTAGTGGTTTTGGAGAAGAATTATAGTGAATTCAGTTTAGTTACTAAGAGACTAAAGGACAATAGAATACCCATATGAAGCTCAGGAGAGAGGACTAAGTTAAATATACAGTTATTATGGTCATGGGCTATGGGATGACATTACCCATGGAGAATATGGAGGAAAGAGGACCAAAAAAAGGTGGACCTCAATATTTTAAAAGATTAAAAGTAAGAGAAAAATAAGTTATAGAAAACAAAATCAATGAATTACCTATTTGGTGTAATTGAATGAGATCTACTCTGATGAAAAATAGATATTAATGACATAATATCACCTTAAGCTTCAAATTGGGTTGAGTGTGTCTAGCACTGGAGATGACAGCTCTGAGGAACACAGGGCAGAGGGTAAGAGGATTCCCCACTACTTCAACTGCTTGCATTTCTCCTTCAGTATCCAGTTCCTAATTTAACACTTTCTGCTCTCTGATTAACATCCCTCCTTTCCAAACAGGGAGGACTATTCCCTCAGTAAAACTTATATCAAGGTGACAATTAAACAAAATCCCATTACACATGAGTGACTCAGAACTTTCTTAACCTTGTCAGAGATATTTGTGTATTTCACAAAAATGCTTAATGCTGCAGAAGAATTGGTTGTTGGTGATTACTTAGCTATGGCAGGCACCAGAATTTGAGGAATATAAAAATAAGCAGAACCTGGTGTGGTGGTGCATGCCTGTAATCCCAGTGACTCAGGAGGCTGAGGCAGGAGGATTGAAAGTTCAAAGCCAGCCTCAGCAAAGTTGAGGCACTAAGCAATTCAGTGAGACCTTGTGTCTAAATAAAATACAAAATAGGGATGGGGATGTGGCTCAGTGGCCAAGTGCCCCTGAGTTCAATCCCTGGTACCTCCCCCACCCCCACCCCACCCCCCAAAGTAAGTAGAGCAGGATTTGTATTCTTGAGGTTGTTGCTAACCAGTAGGAGAAAGGCATGCACAAGAGTCAATAGCACAAAGGACAGTCCTGTGAAAGAACCTAGGTGGACCAGATGGATTTGGTGTGTTGGGACTACTGAAGAAAGCTTTCTTACTCAGATCAGGCTGCCATAACAGAATCCCACAGACTGAGTGGTAAATCTCAACAGCAGAACTTTGTTTCTCATAGTTCTGGAGACAGGAAGTTCAAGATGAAGTTGCTGCCTTAGCTGGTTTGGGTTGAGACTTTCTTCCTGGCTAACAGAAAGCTGCCCCCTCACTGGGCCCTCCCTCTGTGTATTCTCCTGGAGTCTTTTCCTCTTCATAGGGCAACAAACCTATTGGACCAGAGCCTCATTCTTCTAACCTCCTTTAACCTAATCACTTCCATAAAGGTTCTGTCTCTAAATACAGCCGTGTAGAGTTAGGGCTTTGACATATGAATTTTGAGGCACTCAATTCAGTCTATACCAGAGGGTTTGCTAATGAGAGAATATCAAAGTTGATTCTTTAAGAAGCAAAAGAGTTCCATGTGACATGTGTATTATATATTTTTATATGTTCTTGTATGTTTTTATTCATGATGCTTTGGCTTTGTGATATTTTTATTCTGATTTCTGTTTTTTGTGTACCCACTTATAGCTGAAATAGAGTTTTTAAATGAACTTACTACACAAATTGCAGTTCTCACAAGGTCTCACAAAAGTGTAATTATGGAAGAGGATGGTAAAAGTGCCAAACAAGGAGAAAATGACATTAAGCCAACAAGCAGAAATGCCTCTAGTAAGTAGTAGTGATTTTAGTTGAAATACAGTGGCAAATGTATTCACTTTTTTTTTTGCTAGTCTATTGAATCCTCTGGATCATATTCTAGAAAAATGTATTCACTCATGATAGTATCATTTAAGGTGATTTCAGAAAATCTTACTAATTATTATACTTTAACTTTCACGCTAGCTACTATTCTGTGCTATCTTGAGTGCCCCAACAAGTAGCCATATAAGATCCTTGAAGGCAGGAACAGTGTCATGACTTCCCTTTACTTTGTGACTCCTCATATAGTGTTACACATGTAGATGCTAGATGAAGGCATGAAGAATTTAATGCCAAATATTGTGGATAGAGCAGAACATTAATAAATGCTGTTGACTAACATTTATATATTTTTTGTTGTTGTTAGACTTGAATTTTCAGCCACTTTCCACAGAGCATTCACTAACTGGTGCAAGATTTACCCCTAGTCCTCCTCCGTTCAAAAGGTTCTTGAGTACAATGAACATCTCCTATCTGTCACCAAAATCAATTATGACTCAGATGGATAATTCAAAGAAGTCTGTTTCTCAACTGATACCTGGTTATGAACATGTGGATCATATTCTCAGTGCAGATCTCAGTGTGGATGAATTGAAAGATCCTACAAACCACAGTCATTCTTTAAGCATTAATCCCAACAGTTCTCTTGGCCAAGGGAGGGATATTTTCTACAGCACCATCCAAATAGAGACAGGAGAATATCATTCTCTCATAAACAGTTCTTTGCAAGGTTACACACAATATGAAGATGAGTTTGTAGCATCAGTTACTAAAGCAGTCACTATTTTGCCACAGAAGTTTGGATCAACCAAAATATCAACTTGTGCTGAGTCGCCTTGTTTTCTTGGTGTTTCCTGTGTGCCAACCACAGGTGGCCACTTCAAGTGTGGACGCTGCCCCACTGGGTATTATGGAGATGGTGTCAATTGCAGAGGTACTATGAAAATTTTTCAGAAGATACAGAGAAAACTACCTTCCAGTTTTAGTAACTAAGAAGATACACTTTTCCACTTACTAATTTCTCTTCCTTCCACTTTGTTCAACATGTTTTGAAAAAAGAAGCAAAAGTGGGTTTTTCTAAGTTACTTTTTTAAAGTGTTAATATTATATACTATCCAACTATATGATATATAAATATATTTATTGAGTACCTACTCTGTCCCAAGATCTTCAGAAACATTCTGTATCAATTATATATAATAAACAACAACTCCATATAATAAGTGTTATTGTTCCCAATAGACAGATGAAGTAGTGGAGTTTTGAGGGACTGACTGTCCTATTATTAAACAAGTAATGAAAAAAAACAAGGATGTCAATATAGATCTGATTAACATTGTGGCCTGAGTTATTTTTAGTTCGAAATACACAGTTACCATTTTAAATTACTCATTCTGGTCTATTTACTTATTTGCAACTTATACAGTTGTGTCTATTTCCAATTCTTTGGAGTCTTAAACAAGTTTTGCATCATTTTAATTTTACAAGTATTTTTATATCTTTCCACAATTATTAACATTGTTTTCTCTGATACAAATCAAATTTTTGAGTCCTATAATTTAGAGTCTGGTTTTTATTGTTGCTGTTGATATGAGTTTGATGTTCTTGTTTTGTTTTGTGTTTTGTTTTATTTGAGACCAAAATTAAGTGAGACAGTTGTTGGAATATTCCTATGTTTCCCATATTACCTAAAGGAAATTTGTTTTTCTTTTTTTTTCCATAAGAATAATAACTCTCAATACTTACATTATATAATACCTATAGGAATTCCTTAACAAATGAAACAAAACACTTTCATGTATATTAGATACCACAGGAAGTGTTAAATGTCCAGTAGAATATATCAGGTAGTAGAGAAGCTTAAGGAATCAACCTCATGATGTATTCTTTGAAAATCTGATTATCCTTATTATTTATTAACATTTAGCTGATTCATATCTGAAATTTCATTGCCCCCTGAAAAAAGACTATCATTTCAGGTAGGGTTAGGTTCTACCTCTAACAGGCACCATCTTGGAAGTAATTACTACACTTGGCACTTCTTTCTTACTCTAAAAATGATTTTCCTCAGTCATTCTAATGGTTAAAAATATTAAGAAGACCATTTTATGGGTGAATGGTCATTATTTAATACCTTATCAAAATGTTCCAATTTGAGAAATTTTAAATTTCATTATAAGTAAATAATTGAGCAGCACGTATATATCATGTCAATGGTTCAGCCATTTCTCCTTGATTTTTGCAGCTGTTTGTAGACATCCATGTGGAAGGAGCAGGGAATGTGTGGCACCAAACATATGCAAATGCAGACCAGGTTATACTGGTTCCAACTGCCAAACTGGTAGGTTTATCATTCATTAAATTGAAAAATGAATTTTATTTGATAATTGATATTTCTAAATGGGTTTATTTTATACAGCTGTATGTCAGCCTGCTTGTAAAAACCATGGGAAATGCATGAAGCCTAACGTCTGCAAATGTCCTCCAGGATATGGTGGAACAACGTGCAATGAAGGTGGTAATCCAAATTAAAAAATCAACTAATAGGGTTAAAACAAATTGTTATTTTCTCTAATATGCTTTTATAAGATAATTCAGTTTCACTGTGTATATTCTAATATGTAGTTATTAATATTGGTGAAAGAGCCCACTTTTTAAGTGTTCACTAAAAAACAATTCATTTGAGAATTTTAAAAACTTAAGTTTCAGAAATCAGAGATCCAAAGAATAGTAGCTTTTCTTTGGTGAAATTATCTTCTGAAATTTTTTGAAGATTTGGTTTTAGGGTATCGTATCTCTACAAATAAGAAGATATAAGGTGGTAATAAGAAGAAACTTAAAAATAATTTTAAAAATACATCTTTAGCCATATAATTTGCATGACTTTAGGTGAAATATTAAGTGGAGAATGTATGAAATAGAATTCCTAAAGCTAGGTAATACTTTAAAGAAATGAGTTAGTTGTTATTTTCAAAATAGTTTTTTAAAAACAATGTATTTCGTTAGATGGTACATATGATTACTAATAAACTGAGTCATGTTAAATGCTTTAATGACAAGGCAAGCAACAAATTAACAAACTAAATTTTTTAGGTTGAACTGAAACTTTCAACAATAGCCTGTGGTGATAGCCATGTAAAGATATAAATATTCTTTTTTTAGGGTAGAAATATGTAAGTCCAAGATTCATTTTACAGAAGAAGCCTAAGATGATATATTTCCATTCAGTTAACCAAATTTTTATAAACCTTTTACACAACTGTGTTGCATTTTCTAGATTTATTTTATAAACCCAAACATGCTGATACCTGGTGAAGGTTTCAGAGTGTGAATCCACACAGTCAGTCCCACAGAACTGAATCTCATTGTCAAAGAGAACTGAAGTCATTATAAACTGCTCTTACAATAGGCTTTATTGTGACTGTGCTTCTTAAATATAAATGGATAGTTCATTGTGATTATTATTAATAATAATTACTTAATAATGTAATCTGTTCCTGCAGAACATTGTAGCCCACCTTGTCAACATGGTGGCACGTGCTTGCCTGGCAATCTCTGTACTTGTGCTTATGGTTTTGTGGGATCGAGGTGTGAAACAAGTAAGCCAATCTCCCCTTGCAATCTGCTATAATGAACTTGCTGCTTTGATAAACTTTTCTTTAACACTAAATGGAATGAACCCAAACCCTAAGTAAAAAACAGTCTTTCATGATCTATGATGACAGTTCCCATCCTGGGTAGCATTGGGAGCAGTTTGTTCTAAGAAATAACTATTCTTAAACCCACCTTTGAGATAAGATGAATTCAAATGTGCTCATTTGCAGATAAATTTATCTCATTTCATTTATGTCTATAGTCATTTTCACCAGTAGCTAATAATTTCCCCTAAGAGCCAATTTTGTTGACTGTTCAGTTCAATGGTTTTCTTCTATCCCCAACTCTATTAGTGAGAAAATAACTGAATATGAAAAGGGAAGAGCATTTAAAGCCAAAGTATAAATTATTCCCATGTTATTCATTAACAAAAACATTTGGCAGTCATGAGATAATTATATAATAGTTAGAATGGTGGTGAGCATTCTTAGCCTAACTTGTCTTTCTTTTATCTTCACTGTGGGTCTTAGTGGTTTGCAATAGGCACTGTGAAAATGGAGGTGCATGTCTCGCACCAGATGTTTGTCAATGCAAGCCTGGTTGGTATGGACCCACCTGTAGTACAGGTAAAATCAGAGTTGTTTGCAATGAATGTTTCATTAAAAGAAATTTAAAATGTGCCAATGTTCTAAAGACTTGCATCTAAGAAATGAAACTGATCTGTTAAGTAACTTCCATCTTCTTATACTGGACTGGATTGTGTCTTATAGCTTTATTGTTATCCAACCAATGTTTTGTATTTTTTTTTTGCCTTTATAAATATCACCCTACTATGGACTCAAAACATGTTGTGTTTTAGAGGTTTATTTTAAGATTAATTTTTTAAATCACAGCATATATACCCTATTTCATTAAACGTCCAATCAATTCTTATACAGACAACCATTCCTGTTATTCCATTTATTTATCACAGTATCAGATTTGCTTCTTTGGCAGCAATATTTGCAGTTTTTCATGTTTAATTAATTGTCAGTTATTCTAATGACTTTTCTCAATGAAAATTTAATTCAACGTTCATAGTTTGCCAACTATATGTGAATCATGATGCAAAGGGAAACAAAGACCAATTTGATTTTGCCCTCATTTCAAGTAGAATATTGATAGTGAAGGAGACCTGGGATGCAGCTGTAAAAAACACAAGACCAGGACAAGTAGGGTTATGATAAGTAATATCGTTACTTAAAAGCAAAGATGGAAATCAGTTCTGGCAAGTGGAGTTTGGAAGAAAATAAAATTCTAGTAGACTTTGGAATACGCTGAAAAATGGAATGGGGTGCTTTTTAAATAAAACAAAGGTAATGGAGTAAATACAAAGAAATGTTTTTGAGAGTGCTGGGACCTGAGTTCAGTGTCCTTGTTTCATTTGGGAAGGAGACAAAGAGGTACACCTAGCCCCACTGGTTCCAGCAGATTACAAGTCATCTCATTAGTGCTATTGAATGAATCATGTTCTCTTAACTTACAGTCTTTTTTTTTTTTTTGAGCTTAACAAGGGCATTCTAAATTCTATTCATACACTCCACATTTTTAGTTTAATATTGTTTGTAAACTTAATGAATACACTTTGAAAGCTATTATGCAGTTATTTCATGCCTCTTATGTTTGGCAAAGTCTAATTAATTATAGGTGCTCCATTTTGTATGGAGCTCCATTTTGGTGCAGCTTTCCTTTTTAAATTTCATTTTTAAAATAATAATACTTTTATGGTCTCTTTCCCTTTTGCTGTTCATTAGCTTTATGTGACCCTGTTTGCCTCAATGGTGGCTCCTGTTACAAACCAAACACTTGCCTCTGCCTGAATGGATTTTTTGGTGCACACTGTCAGAATGGTAATGATTCTTGATAAGTCAAAAAGTCAAATGGAATGTTAGACATCAATAGAGCTTTGAGAAAACATTAGAGAAGTTTGAAAGTGGAAGATGCTATTTGTTTCTTCTATATATTATGATTCTGCAGGTCTAGCCATCAAATGACCAGCTCATACAAAGGGTATTGGAGTTATTAAGTAAAATGGTTTTATTTATTCAATGTATGTTAGGCTTACAACCTTGGCATTTGTCAGTGCTTTGTAGAACAAAGATATGAAACCAATAAGCAAAGTTTTCATGCAGTTTCCAGTGAAATTATATCATTTTACTTGCCGTCATAGCAAAAATGTTTGATTTATAAGCTACTGTCTATTGATTTCCCACAATCTCTCTTGACTTTAGTTTCATTAAACATTTATGAAGAGTCATCTATGCACAGCTCTCTGCAAGATGGTGTGAAGACATAAAAATGCATCATATTCTTTGTGGCCCATTATTTCCTTCAAATAGTTAATGCTGTAGGACTTTCTTCAGAGTAATGGGAATGTCTTGAGGGTGAGAGTATAGGTAGGAATTAATGTCAATAAATTTTTAAAAATATATTTTCTATATCTTCATATTTGAGTTACACAAAATATAGAGCTAACTTTTTAGTACAGAACATATAAGCACATCATCATAATTTAATTCATAAAATTTATACTTTCCTTGCCAGGATAGAATTTGATTTCCAATTCTTATTATTTTTTTAATTTGGAAGTTGGCCAGAATTCTTAAGATGAAATTGAAGTAGAGAAGAAACCATCACTCAAACACAAGACATATGGGCCTAGAGAACATATCCTCTCATCCATATTTCCTTCATTGTGAAATGGAGGAAGCAAAGACTAAGTAGGCAAATCTTAGAAGCTAAGAGATTGCAATTAAATCCATGGTGAAGAGTTATAAGTATAATTCTGAGTAGAAAAAATAAGTAGAGAAATGAAAAGCTTACATGTGCCTTGCTAATTTCAGATGTAAGACATAGAAAAGTTCTTCTCAAAACTATATGCCAACTGTGAGGGAATCTCTAAGTAATTTAGTTGAACTAAAAAGTATCTATGGAACATATGCCTTTTTCAACAGCAGGTTGCTATAGTGAGATAAGAGCAGTATGAGAATTGCCCCCTGTTGTAACTTCCTAGCTGGCATAGACTTTGACAACTTCCTGTAAATCTTCAGGCTTCATATTTCCTGGCTTTCAGGTTTGACCTAAACACTATTACATTATATCCACTGTGAGTCCAAATGTTGGGCAGGGAAGATGACACACATCAAAAGAAGTTGAATAAAATTAGGCAAAATGTGATTAAAAGTAAATACGAGGGACTGTTTGTACAATAGAATTTCAAAAGAGGAAGACAAAAATTTAGCTGGGAACATCACAATATTATTATACTACTCTTTAAAAAAAAAGGTCAGGGTTAAAGTGTATGGCTGAAGATGTATAACCACATCTTCCAGTTTCCTTCACCTCCTAAAATCCTCAATTACTTGGTTCAACCTGGGCATTGTTGGGAGAACCATCTGAGGCCTGAAGAATCTGGTAGGAGGGTTGGTTTTCTCCCAAAATTCCTTTTCTAACCTGGGATGATGGCTAGATGACTAAGTTCAAATTTTATTCCATATATATATATATATATATATATATATATATATATATATATATATATATATAATTTCAATCATATGTGCTTTTTGTATAGATGTATTTGTCTCTACACTCAAGACTTTGTGAATTGTTACAAGGCTGTATACGATAAGCAACTTGGGGTTTATTATTTTAGTGTTAAGTTCCCAATCATAGGTATTTACTATGGTGCTTCTGTAGTGGAAAAAAAAGACCTTTTTTTTCTAATAAATAGAAATCATATTAAATTATGTAAAGAATGGGAAAGAGAACACATAAGAACATTCTACCACTAATAAAACATAACATATACCTGTTTATAATTCTCCATGTGTAGGTTTTTTATCAGTCAGTATTTGATGTGTAACAAACAATCCTCCAAATCTTAGTGTCCAGCAATATGCATTTATTTCCCTTACAAACAATACAGGTTGTCTGGACTTGACTGTAGACTGCTTCACCTGTCTGTCTTCCTCCAGAGACCCACATCTCTCTGGTGTATGCCTTTCTCAAGCAAAAACCAGGACAGCAAGATGCCAAGGCAAACTACCCTGAATATTTAGAGCGTCTGCTTATATCATGTCTGCTCTCAGGCCAATGGTCAAATTAAGTCCTGTGGCAAAACCCAATAACTACAGGATGAGAAAATAAACCCCACCTCCAATGTGGTGGGTACAAAGACACCTGGAAGAAGGCATGGCTAAACAGGAGTGAAAAATTGGGAGAAATAATCTATAATCTAACCTAACTCCGTGTCATAGCTAAAGACAGGTTACTGTCACTGTTTTCTTTTCCATGCTTCAATAAAGATTGTTGAACAAATGCTTTAAAAAATAAGAAAGTATTCATAAAATATCAGAGAAAGTAGAGTTAAGCATAAGCTAGAAAAGGGTCAGTATAACATAGTGAAAACTATCCATTCTCTAAAAGCATCCATTTATATTGTTTTTTGTACTTGAATTGCTTTTTATTTATAAATCCATTTGATGTCAGTGAGATTTTTCTTACAGTCTTTAGAAGTGAAGAAAGCACCTAATAAGGTGGGTCTAATTCAAACTGGAAGTCAGTCTTTTGGTAATGACAGTCCCATTACTAAAACCTGTGAATTTGAAATTAATTTTAAAAATACAAACTAAAATACACTTAACTATCATTCTAGGGAAAATTGAATTTAAAAATTTCCAGGCATTTTTGTCTCATATTAATAAGAAAGAAAGGATGAAAGGAAGGAAGGAAGGAAGAAGAGAGGTAGGGAGGGAGGGAAAGAGGAAGGGAAGGAAGGAAAGAAGGAGAAATGCATAACTGCATTTAGCGGTGGTGTAGCTAAGAGTTAGAGCATGTGCTTAGCATGTACAAGCTCTGGATTTGTTTCCCAGGAGGGGAAAAAAAGAAGTGAAAGAAAAAAGAAAAACCTACACTAAGTTAATCCTTTCATAAAATAACTCAACCTCTAAATTTCATGAGACAGAATCCTAAAAATAGAAGATACTAGTAAATTATAAGTTTTTAAGAAATATTCCTAACAACCACTAAGAATTATTGTCAAAAGATTTTATCAAGGATTCACAAGAGCCAGTCATATTAAAGTGTCTCAAAAGTATTCAAAAGTTAAAGTTTTTTTGGATATATTTTTGTGATATGTGACAAATTGTACAGATTTTTCTGATTTCCAAGAGAGCAAAACATTCGTATTTTGAGGTAAGTTCTGATTTATTTTCTTGGTTGTGTCCTGATCATTTTATGCTTCATTTACTTCACAGTGTGGTAAGACCAGACGAAAGTGAAGGTTCATAATATATATACTATAATACTGAGGACTTCATTTTTTATGAATACTACTCCCATACATTTCAAATTGTGCTAACCCACTAGCAGCTTATGGCTATAAGCATCATATTTTATGATTTAGAAAGGATAGTTTTAATGACTTGTAGTTGTAATCTTTTATTTTAATAGCACATTCCTCTGCCTTATGGCCCCATAGATAGCAAGCACAGGATGCAATATGCAATATATAATAACTGAAAATGTAATATTCACACATTGCTGCCATGTGTTTTTTAGCTATCTGTCACCCTCCCTGCAAGAATGGTGGCCACTGCATGAGAAATAATGTGTGTGTCTGCTGTGAAGGATACACTGGTAGGAGATGCCAAAAAAGTAAGACACTACTAAACCTATATGCAGACTACAGGTAAAGCAAATAAAACTGTTGCCATTTAAAGCTAATATTTCATGTTTCCCCTTAAGGCATCTGTGATCCCATGTGCATGAATGGAGGAAAATGTGTGGGACCAAACATTTGCTCCTGCTCTTCCGGTTGGAGTGGGAAAAGATGCAATATACGTAAGAAGAATACTCTTAAAATTCCAAAGTCGGGGCTGCTGTTTTTTCTCAGTAGTAGAGCACTTGCCTAGCATGTTTGAGGCACTAGATTTAATTCTCAGCACCAAATAAAAATGAGTAAATTAAATAAAGGTTTAAGAAAATACAATAACATTTTTAAAAAAGATAGATATCTTAAAAAAAAAAAAACAATGTCTACATCCTTTGTGGCAAGATTAAGCAAAATATAAGACAAAAAAAAAAGTTTTCTTTGTTTTTATTTGTTTTAATTTTGGCGTATTCATTCCTGGATTAGAAGATATCTTTGAAATAGAATAAAATGAGAAGTTCTCTGAACCTAGTTTTTCAGGTCAGCAGAGGAAGTCATACATTGTATTTCCTAGTTTCCAACTGTTTGTTTGCCCAGAATAAATAACAAAGTCTTTATATTATATTCTCCTAAACTGAAGTAGGGCTCAGTGGGCAGTTTAAAAAACTGCGGATTCCTTGGCATCAAAAGAAACCATGCAATTCAGACTTTTTCAAGTGAGAGATCCTACTGCCTCTCAGACTGATTAGTACCTGAGATGATGGCACTTCTCATTCAAATATTTCCTTTTATCCTTTCTATAAAATTACTCTAAATTAGGAGCAATTATAGTGCATAGATCAAGGTGAAAAATGAGAATTAACATATATGTCCAACAATTGAAGGAAACATACCACAATACTTTCAAATAACAGAATGTATATTATTGCACAACCATTAAAATCACATTTTCTAGGACTACATAGTAACATTGGAAAGTGTTGTTTGATAAAATATCCATTAATTATTGACTTTTAACTGTTTTTCTTTAATTAAAATTCATGTGGCTTATGATAAGATTTGAGTAGTAATGTAAAATTTTAACTTGTTTATATTTCTATTTGTAGCTATTTGCTTTCACAAATGTAAAAACGGTGGTGAGTGCATTGCCCCCAGCATCTGCCACTGTCCTCCCACCTGGGAAGGAGCGCAGTGTCAAATACGTAAGCCCACAGGATTTTTTTCTACTATATATTCATATTGGAACCCATTATAATAATTAAATATGACTTTAGGAGAAATCCATAATGGAAAAAACTACAGATTACTGATTTTAAAAAATTTATTTTACAGCTGGGTATGGTGCCTCATGTCTATAGTCCCAGTGACTCGGGAAACTGAGGAAGATGGATTGTAAGCTCAAGGCCAGCCCCAGCAGTTAGGGAGGCCCTAAGTAATTTAGTGAGACCCTGTCTCAAAATGAAATAAATAGATAAATAAGGGCTGGGGGATATGGCACAGTGGTTAAGCACCCTGTGTTCAAGCCCCGGGACTATCCCCCTAAGTGACTTTAGAAATAAAAAAAAAAAATTACCCAATTTTATATTTACTTATAAAAAAGAAAGTATGATATAATATATAATTTTTTGTGGCATGGTTTCAAATTATGGTCTGTGGGTTGCCAGTGCAGTTTCCTTAGATGGGACTAAGGAAAGTTTAATATGCAGAAGTTCAAATGTTATTTGTTATAGGATAAATATATATCTATAATGGAAATCTTAGAAATTATGGAAAAAATAGCAAAAAATTAATCACTCCAAATTTCACCACCCAGAATTATCTTATGTTACTTTTTTGGTATTTTGTGTATTTCCATCCATATTTATTCATAGAGTAAATCTTAGGCTATAGAAAAAATAAAATTTATCCACATTTGAAATTTCTGAAAACTTTAAATAACATGTTAAAATATTAACAAAGATTAACTTAATGGGAAAAACATGAAGGCCTCCAAAAACACCTTCAAAGATCAATAATTACATAATTTCAAATTTGCTGGCCAATTGAAATTTATAATTGATACATAATTATGCCTTTTACTCGAAATAAGTCTCTTTGGAAGAAAATGTCTTATGAACCACACTATGGTTTTCATGCATCAGAAATTTTGCATATAATGACTCTTAGCGGTAATTGTATTTGTAATTGTTACTATAATTTATTATTTCTTATTTAGAAAATATATCAAAGTACTATTGAGGACAAGTACTTACATAAGAAATGTGTGCTCAAAAATTGATAATTGTGATTGGAAGTTAGACAAGATAAATAGCTAGAATGGAAGAACAATCAACCTCAACCTGGGTTGCTCATTCTGGAGAGTGGTCTATGCAGATCATGAGAACGATGAGAAGATGCTAAAAGCACAGGGATGTAGAAATAGACCCGAGTGATCATAGATTGAGGTTTTTTGTGCACAGATTCAAGTACACTGAAGCATCTTTATGTAAATTTAAAACAAACTAACATCAACTTCCTCAAAATTGCTTGTCCAGAAATTTGTCTTAAATATATTGACTGTTACCTAAACATGTGTGTTACTGCCATCTGCTGGAAAGTTGTTGTAATAACTATTTCCATGTATGATGGCTAAGAGTGCCTCCTTAGCTTTGGAGGACTTGTGCAGCACACAACCCAGCTGACTATATATGGCAGCCCTGATGAAAACATAGCTGTCAGTGTTGCATTTATATCAAAGGGAATATTATTCTTGAAATGTTTAAGCTTTTATTATGAAACATTGAAGTAGTATCATTCCCATGAAAAGCAATTGTATTGTATGTCATTTTATAGTCTGCTCATTTTCACTCAATATCACTTCAAAACGTTTACTAGGTCCTAAAAGAACATAATTTTAAACCACACATTAGGTTCCATAATATAAATATCATAATTTACTTAATCTTTCCCTTTATGTTGCACATTTAATTATTTATAAGTATGAAAAGCATTTTTTAAAGATAGATGATAGAAAAATAAATAGGCAGATTGGTGTGTGTGTGTGTGTGTGTGTGTGTGTGTGTGGTTAGAATGGCCTTGGAGGATATTTCAAGAAAGAAATTTCTAGTACAGTGTCATAAGTTTAAGTTTCCAACAGTTGTTATACATTAAACAGTCGAGAATATTATATAAAATTTTCTTTTTTTTCATACAGAAACCAGTCCTGAATTGTCTCTTTTAAATTTTTTCCAAGCTGTTAAAAAGAAAGTTATAGGAGCTGAACAACTTTCTTTGCCATGCCCTTCTGCCATGATACCTTGTAGCAGGCCAGAGAAGCTCTGACACCATAAGCCCAACTAAATCTTTTCTCTTCTAAGGTGTTCTTGTCAGGAATTTTGGTCATGGAGATGAAAAGATGACTAATGTAGAGAGGTTGAATATTTGCCTCTAAAACTAAAAATAATCGTTCTAGTGTTATCTTAGAGTTTTCACACAAAATTTTGATATGAGAATTTCAGAGTATAGGTACAACTGCCAGGTATAATGCAGGATTTCATGACAATGGAGCAAATATTCCAAAATATGGACATAAGACATCACTCATTTATGTTTTGGTCAAATACCATATCAAGAGACCACCCTTATCTCTCTCAAAAAACTCCACTACTTTTAAATTAGTGAATCACTATTGATTTGGTGGTGGCCCTAAACATTTTCAGTGGGTCATGTGACACAAAATTTTATCTATTCTCACTATTTTCCCTGACAGAAATGCTTTCTCATTTGCTTTCTGTTAAAATTCATTTCTAGGAAAATGATAGAAACTCTTGCTATCATTAGAAGTAGGATTTCTTTGTATTTCAGGAATCAAGGGACCAAGATAAGAACAGAGGTTTTCTTAGAGTTGCTGAAATTGTCCACCATTTACTTGTAAAGCCAGTGCTAGAATCACCTATTTAAACTTTCCCTTGATCATATTTCTGCATATAAAATTAAACTGCATTCTGTTTGGTTTCTATTCTTAAATTTACAAATGTCAGTGGACAAGATATGTTTTTTCTCCTAATTCCTCCACATACCAGAGTTGCTTCACACACACAGCAAAAGCAATGATTTCTTAAAGCTAAATGCAGGAGATTTAATTTAAAAAAAAAATGATTGTATGTTATTTAGCACTTCAAAAGGCCCAAGGGTCATGAATATCAAAGTGTGCTAGAATATTATAATTTGAAAAATGATAATAAATTTTCTTCTTGAAGATGGATACTGAATCCGTCTGACTTAGAAGCAAAGTAGATTTATGTATGTTTTTCTCCTAGCACTGGTGTTTATCCTGCAAGAATATGGGTCCAGGGAGAAAAAACTAAAATAAAATAAAAAACATCAAAATAGGATTCTGGACTGGAAATCAAAAATCAAAAGTTATTGAGTACTTATTTTATTAGATACTATTGTGAAAAACAAACATAAAAGCTTGAGTTCTTTGGATTTGAAGACAGCCTCACTGTATTTTACTTTAATTTTATTTGAACCTTTGATGGAACAGAAAACCCTATAACTTCAAAAGCTCTTTACTCCACTTTGACAGTACTAAAGTAGGTAGCTTCTCTGTGTTCTATTTTTTTTTTCTGTATTTATTTGCTCTCTGAGTCCTTCCTCATATGATCAATAATAAAAATAATAAATCATCTTCACCCCCATTATTGTTTCCATGATGACACCTTGAGTCTTATCAGGGAAAAGGAGCAGAAGGTCATGGAGAAACGAAAGAGTGAGAAGGAGTAGGACCACGTGTCCGACTCACTGTAACCCACTCTCCCTGGTACTTAGCTTCAGTCCTCACTCTGGCATTCTGTTGCGCATGGTCTCCACTTGTGAGCCTTCTGTTTCAGCCTCTCAAGTCACTCAGATTACAGGCATGCACCACTGTTCCTAGTTATGTTTTTAATATTCTTTGGCTCTTAAACAGAGGGTAAAAAAATTCTCTTTAGCAGGGATAAAAGCATCCATGACCCATGGGTATTCACAGAACCTTCCCTAAAGCCTTCCCTTGCTTCTCCTCCCAGCTTTCTAAAGGAGATTTCAAGCTGGATAATAGCCTGGTCCTTCTTCTAGCACCTTGGGAGAGTGGATGGGGGAAACAAGTGGAGGATGCAAATTAGATTGCTAGAATTTTAATTAAATAGGGAATTTTGGGCTAGAGACAAAAGACACAGAGAAAGAGGAAAACAGACTAAGGAAGATAGAGGTGCTAAAATGGGCAGGATGATGAAAAGCTTTAAGAAATGTCATAACCTGCGCTGCTGTTGGGAGTACTTCCAATTGGCCTTGCTGCTTGTTCACTGTGTGAGCTTAGGCAAGTTATTTAACTTGTCTGAACCTCAGTTACGTCATCTCTAATATGGGATATTGGCTTCTACTCTTAAATTTACAAATATCAATAGAAAAGATATGTTTTCTGTCCTAATTCCTAATTTATGTACAGGTCCTAGTACGTAGCAAACACTATGCAATAGTTTATCACATTGAATAGAGGAACAGAGAGAGGTAGTGAAGGAAAAGGATTGAGAATGAGAATTGAGAAAAATGTTAAAATGCATTTTGAATATCTAGTCTTCCACAAAGGATATTGGGAAGGGGGATGGGTTAAAACCCATTTCTTGAATGGAATGCTTTGCCAAGATCAAATCATATTCAAGTCCTATTCATTACAATTTCTCTGACCTTTAAATATGATCTTGATTAAATCCCAGGCTTATGAAAACAAAAAATAGTGTAGTGGCAAATAGAACTGGAAGCACTCTATGAAGTCAGAGGGAAGGAGTAAGAAAATAAAGATCAAGGGCTAAAGGATTTTCTACTAATCACTGAACTTGTTTCCCTCTTCTTACTGCAGATAAAACATCATTGAATAACATCAAGTATATGAATTCCAAGCCTATATGTTAAGAATTGAAATATTTCATTCAGAAAAAGATGAAGATGACTCAAAGTTTATTTGATCATCATTGAGAAGAGCAAAGAAACTAATAGCATATACAATGATCTGACTCGTCAATGTTAGAGAAAAGCAAAAAAATGTCATTCAGTTAACCTACAATTAACTTTGAAATTTGATTCAGTATTTATGCATTAAGATGATACATTGGATATTCTGGTCATTTGTAATATTTAGTTAACTGAATATTTTTCCATTCTTGTGACTGTCTCAATATCATCAGGGGTCAGTCATCATAATAAATGTCACTTGATGTCTCTCATATATACAGTGTTTCATGCAGAATAGGGGATTCTCAGGATTGTTGAAGGAACTGGGGATTAGAATGGGGAGGTAGAGTCAGAAAAGCAGCCGCCAACGTTTGGAGAGGCTGGCACTGAAGGTTCCAGCCTAGAGCACCAAACAGTTACCTTTCAGAAGCTTTCTTGGATCTGCTGCAATACTTGAGAATCTTTAAAACCTAACACCAGCTCTCTCGGGCAAAGTAGATCATTCTCAAAAATGTGCTAGGAAGCCACTCTGAATCTTCCACCTATCCATTCACCTGGTGTAACACACCTGTGGAAAAATGGGGGTTTCCTCTTCATCTCCATCTATAACTCTCCAGTAATTTCTTCTTATTGGCAAACTCTAACCTAGGGGAACACAGAGAAGGGGATCATGGGAAGATTTATGCTTTTTATACTCAGAAAGAAATGGAGTGGTGCTGTGGACCATCAGTGAGCCGACACAAGACATGCTGAGAATTCTTCATCTCCTTGTTTTTTACTATATTCCAGAGGTCAAAGCCACCACTTTTCATTGGTAAAAACATCATGTTTAGTTTTGTTTGTTTATTTTTTTCCACTCCAGTCTTTTATTGTTCTGACCTATATGCCATTCCCAGGCAAGGGTAGAAGAAATAAATTTTTTTGGTTTTAAAATATTTACTTTCATTGTGTTTATGTGTGAAAAGAACCCCACATGTGTGTGGTATGAATATCATAAGTGCTGTGGTTTGGACCAGTGCCCCCCCGCAAAGGTCCAGGTGCTAAAAAGTTTGGCACTCAGCTTGGAGTTGTCAGGAAGTGGTGAAAACTTTAAAAGGCTGGGCCTGGTGGGGAGTCCTTGGGTGTTTGGGGTACACCCTCAAAGGGAATAATGGGACCTTGACCCCTTTCTCTTCCTCTCTTTCACTTTCTGGTCATGAGAGGAGCAGTTTTGTTGTGTCACACACTTCCATCATGATGGGCCACAGGCCCAGTGCAACAGGGCAACAGATCATGGACGGAAACTTCCAAAACCCTGAGCCCAAATAAACGTTTTCCCAAGTTTATTAATCTCAAGTATTTGTTATAGTGACAGAAAGTTGAAAAGCAAATATTCATTTCAGTGTAGGAGTCGAGAGAGATGATCACAAAACCAAATCCTACAAATATCAAAAGAAAATTTTCAAAGCCAGCCTCAGCAATTTAGAAAAGTTGTAAGCAACCTAGTGAGACCTTGTCTCTAAATCAAAAAAAAAAAAAGGTGGGAATGTGGCTCAGTGGTTAAACACCCTTGGGTTCAATTCCTGGTGCAAAAACAAAAAACAAATTTGTAGTGGTGCTTAAGAAAAGCAAAATTACATTCCATAAATTGCTGAGAAGTAGCTAATGTCAACAGGGAATATACATATAATTGAAACTTGCTTTAGAGAAACAAATAATTGCCAGTTAGTGAGGATTATGTATCCTCCTTTTCTTGACTATTTCATATTTGAACTCAACCTTTTCAAAAAATATTTTAACCATAACCATTATAAATTATGTAAATTTATAAAATTCATTTTTTCTTTTAAACAGACTGAAAATTCCTAAGCCATATGTAAATTATAAGATAAAGTAAGACATGATTAGAATAAAATTACAACTAACTTTGCAAATGATCTTTTAAGGAATAGCATCCAGGGTCAAAGTTAAAGAGATTTTAATTTATCATTTTATTTTTGTTGAGAGGTAGTTTTAAAGGATCCCTAAAGAGAATATAAAATGTTTCATGATATTTTATTTTATGTTACCAAAAATTCAGAAATACAAATTCAAAATAAGCATTCAAAACTTGATGTATATTTAAATTTCAAAGATGTTGTAGAAAATATGAGTATAACAGAGGAAAAATGCTGTTGTAGATAAAAATGAATAATGTTTTAAAGTTAATAATTAGAAGTGAAATCACAGCTATGAAAGTGGTTATAATTTGGGGGGTTTTTGGTACTAGAGATTGAACTTAGGGGCACTCAACTACTGAGCCACATCCCAGCCCTACTTTGTATTTTATTTAGAGACAGGGTCTCACTGAGTTGCTCATTGCCTCACCATTGCTG